GATGACGAACTAGACCAGGGCTGTCACTGGGGTCTCATTTGGTTTCCCAGGGCCAGCGTTGGGGCTGCGCCTGTGATTGGGTATGATCCCAGCCCCCAGACTTGCAGTCTGGCAGGAGAGGTTTTGTTTCTCCCGGGGCCACCCTTGGGAACTGGATGCTCTACTAACAAACCAAAGAGAACAAAGATCTCATTGCAAACAAACTCTGTTTACCTAGGGTCCTTCTGAAAATACTGGTGGTGGCTGGTAGCCTCACTTGGCACAGAGCATCATTCCCTGTGTGGTGGGGAGGAGTCTGGTGCTCACACAGGGGCACACACACACACACACACACACACACACACACACCTCCCTGCTACCCCACCGCGTATACTCACCTCCCCTGTAGGCACATGCTTATCACTGAGTATGCCCATATACCTCCGCACAGGAATCTACACCTGCACACCCCCAACTTCATAGCACACTGCCTGGGGGACCCACACTCGGAGACCCATGCTCACCCTCACATACGTCTGCCCCATAGTCTCTCTCTGCCCTCACATTCTTCTTGTTCACGGGCATACTCAAATGGAACCAGAATTCTAGAGGTGGAAGTGGCCGTAGAGGTCACCTGAGTCCTCATTCTCATTTCATAGGTGAAGAAGCAGAGATTCAGAGAGGGCCAGTCGCCTGCTGCAGGTCACACAGGGAGTTAGAGGCTCAGTGGGAATTAGATCCAGGTCTCCTGCCTCCCAGCTGAGTGCTCACGAGTCCGTACCAGGCTATCACTCTCACAACCATGTACACGCGCACACACACACGTCAACATATGGAAACACACGGACATGGAGATGTGGAGACCCTCGTGCTGGGGAGACGCTCTTCCCACACTGACTCTTTCGGCTGAGGTTGCTTTGCCCCTTACATCGCCCCATCCAGAGCCCCGCCGGATGTGGATAAGCCATCCTCCTGCCTTCCCAAATTGTGGCTGACGGTTGCTGAGGCAACCGCCCGCCAGATTGGGGAGATTAGCTGAGGAATGTAGCTGGGCCAGTTTGAGCTGAGGCTGGGGGAACCGGTGGGGGTCCTGGGTTGATTCAGCCCACCCTCTCTGCGAGGCCAGGGCAGAGATGGGGTACCCATGGCAGGGTCTGGTTTTCTCCCTGGCCCCAGCCTGGCTGAGACCGTGTCCCTGAAGCTTGGACTAGGCTGGGGGGAAGGGAGTGTGGGGCTGTGTGTGTTCGCGTGTTGTGCATCTCTCTGGGTGTGACTAGAGTGTGTGCTGTTTGCATCTAGGATGGGGACCTGAGGCTCCTTTCCTCAGCAGTTCCTGACATCTGACTGTGGACCCCATAGGGACTTGTCCCACGGAACTCCCTCCTGATCCTGTGCTGCCCTCTGGAGAACCCACCTGCCCTCCTCCTGGCATAGAGGATGTATCCCTGTCTCACCTGAAGCCTGCTCAAACACCTACTCTGGCTTCCCAATTCTAAATGAGGCCAAACTCACCTAGACACATAGGGCCCTCCCTCCCTGGTCTGGCCTCGGCCTTCCTTTCTCTGGCCTTCTCTCCCATTGCTTGGGTCAGTCTGCGCTCCTCTCTATGCTCTGGACTAACTGTGTGTTGATTTCCTCCCCTCCTTTGCTTCTGCTAGGTCCTTTGCCTCAGATACCTTTCTGCCCATATCTTCTGGCCAGAATGATAACCATCCTTCCAGGCCCCGTTCAGATGCACCCACCTCCAGAAAGTCTTTCTCCCAGACCCCCTCTTGTGGTCTTGACCCTTCTCTGCTTTGTCTTATTCCGTCACCCCCACTCAGACTGGGAGGTCCCTGAGGGCAGGGCAGAATCTTAATCATCCTTGTGCCTCTAATAGTGTCAGCCTGGGACCTGCATCGTACTTTCAGTGGACGAATTTCCTGTGAATGGAACTGAATTAACCCGTGTGGCCAGCGGAATAGCAGGGACTTATTTTGTCTGGACCTAATCTCCTTGAATAAAGAAAGGTGACTTAAATCCCAGCTTCTGGGACTTAGAGCGTGGCCTTGGGCAAGCCACCTCATCTCTCCGTGTCTCGGCTTCCATTTGTAAAACAGGAATAATAATAGTACCTGCCTTATGAATTACTGTGGCGTTTCATGGGCATAAGTGGACATGATGGTAAGTGGCAACAGTCTCACGGTGGTGTTGATGTGTGTGTGTGTACATGTCTGTGGCCCATGTCTGTGTTGATGGAGTCAAGAGGGATTCCCTGCTACCATTCTTGCTCTGAATCCAAAGTCTGATCTAATTCCCCCCAGCCAGGTTGGTGGTCTCCAGCAGGAGCTGGGTCTCTAGAAGGAGCTGGGGCTTGGCTTTGGGGCTGTGGCTCGTGAGCCATCCAGACTGGAGGGGATAGGGTTTTCCTCAGGACCTAGGAGGCCTGATTTTTCCCACCCCAGAGTGAGCTGGGGAAGATTGGGGATGGGGCTCTCACTGAGGAGCCTGGACCCAGAGATGTTATCCCCTAAGGGCTGTGGTTGGAATTGGGCCTGGCCCAGAGGCACAGGGCTGAAGATGGACATGGACCAGGGAGAGGGAGTCATTCTGCCTAGGGGGACACTATGGAGGGGAAGTTCAGCCAGGGAGGTTACCTTGGCTGAGATTAGTTGTGGGAGTCAGGGAGCGTCAGGGGACACTCTGGCCAGGGTTAGCTGGTCTGGGGTCAGTCAGGCAATTGGGTGGTCTTCTGGTTGAAGTCAAATGGTCTGGATGATGTTGGGACCGCTATGGCCAGGGATAATCAGCTGGGGGCCACTCTGGCTGAAGTCAGTCTGTCTGGGGGCCACTGACCCAGGGCCGTCTGGGAGTTACTTTGGCTAAGGTCACATGGTCTTGAGGGTCCATCTGACTAGGTCAGTCAGTGTGGGAGTCCTGACAGCTCACGTGGCCTGGCTGAGGATGGACGGGGGGGAAGCCAAAGAGCTGGCACTCCCAGGCTTGCCCCAGGGCCATGGATGAGACATCCTTAGGCAGCTGCCCTGTACTTGAACCTGCCTTGTAAAGGAATAGGAAGGGCTCTAGGCCCTGGACTTCCCTTTCTGGCAATCCCTCTGCCTTAGGGAGGCGTTGGCCAAGAACCTCGGGAGCAGACTGCAGACTCAGCTCAGGCTGAATGAAGTCAGCTGTCCCCTCCTTCAGGAAGCCCTCCCTGACCATCCCTGCTGGGCTCGGCCTTCCTCTGTGCTGTACTGTGGGTCATTTTCTAGAGGGAGGGTTGAGGCCTTCCCAGCACAGGTTGGGTTAAAACTTCCCTCCCACAGGCCACAGGGCATGCTGCTGACTTGGGATTTTTACACAAAGAGGCAAAGAGCGCAGCCAAGGTCCTGCTCCAGCTCTGGAGAGAGGCTTCTGTTATTTCATCGCATCCACTCAGTGCCAGCCTCATGCCCACATCTCATTGTTTTACACTCTAGTGGGGTGCAGGAAGAGGAACAGAGGACCCCCGCCTGTGGCGAGCCCCCCAAAGTGGAGTCCCGGCCGCAGTGCAGGTGCCCTCCTGGCATGTGGCCCTCAGCCCCCAGTTTCTTTTCCTTCTTTATTTCTTCCTTCCTCTTCCTGATCCTGGGAAGGAGATCGGTTGTGCTCCTCCTGGTGAAGGAAACACGGGCTCTGGTATCTGGCTGATGCGGGTTCGAGTCCCATTCTGTGGCTCGGGTGGGCTCTAGGGGTGCCTGTGAAGGGCCATTTCCTGAGAACTTGCACGCATGAGGCCTGGTGAGAGGTGGACCCCCGCATTGCATCCCCGACAACCCCACGTGCAGAGGTGGAAACTGAGGCTTGGAACAGGAGAAGTGACTTGCCTACGGTCACAAGGGTTGGCAAGTTGCAGAGTCAAGACTGAATCCCAAGTCTGTCTAATGCCGAAGCCTGCTCACGTACCCACCATGTGATACTGTGCATGGAGCCCTTCATCCCCCAGGCCTCCGTCACATCGTCTGTCAGATGGGGTGGCTGGCAGGTACCCCGCACCGGGCCTGGCTTGACGTGTCCCTGCTTCCTCATCACTTGGCTAGGCCTTTTCTCGGGTCCCCTTGGACTGCCTGTGATGGGGCCACCAGCACCGAGGTTTGGAAGTGGGTGTAGGAACCAGTTTGCAGTTTCTTCCCCCACCAGTGGCGGTCTGACGTTTACTAGGTGCCTGACTCAGGGCTCCGATGAGCTACTGAGAAACATGGACCTCATTACCAGGCAAAGGACTCACATCTGTTTTTACCCCGCCTTCTTCCCTCCCTCCTCTTTTCCTTTCTCCTGTAAATATTGGGTCCGAATCATGGGACGCTGCTTCTCTAGTCATACGTGTGGACTGTCCATGCAGGATTGTGCTTCTGCCTGTCCCATGCCCACAGGCAGGGACCTGACTTGGGTGACTGGGTGATGAGTGAATCCCCAAAGCTCACCTGTCGGGCAGGAATCACTGGGGTCCCTGCCTTGGGAGATGAGGCCTGAATGAGATGCCACGCCGAGAGCGGGTAGCTAGCGCCATGCAGGGCTTGTGGTAAGCCTGAAATAGTCGGTGGCCGTTGTTGTTATTGGCTTCGTGCGTTCACGAGCCTGCCAGTCCTGAGCTTCGTGCCCTTAAGGCCTTAGTTTCCTCATCTGTAAAATGGGGATAATTCTAGACTTGATCTCACGAGTTTTGAGGCTCAAATGATGGAGTGATAATGTTAAGTAGTTTTCCTGGGGGAGGGTCTTTGATGGGTGGTTGAGCAGTGTGGGGTCCTGGCGAGTCCTGGGGGGTGGGTGGAGTGGGGAGGTCTTGGTGTTGGGTGGAGACAGTAAAAAGAGGGAAAGGGTTGGAGGGGGGAGAGTTTTGTGGGAGGGAGGGAGGGAGCAGCGGGGAGAGGCCTAGGAGAGGGAGGGAAGGGGGGTGGGCTTGGGTGGGAGGGAGCAGCAGGGTCACCTGGAGGGGAGCCCCAGGAGCCCTCCTGGCCAGCGACCCTGCCCTAGCTGGGGCTAACCAGGCCCTGCCCTCACAGCCGGCTGCACCTTCGAGGAGGTGAGTGACCCAGCAGTGCCCTGTGACTACAGCCAGGCCCAGTACGACGACTTCCAGTGGGAGCAAGTGCACGTCCACCCTGGCACCCAGTCTCCGGCGGACCTGCCCCACGGTGAGCCTACTCTCCACCACCATTCCTCTTTCTCTCCTTCCAGTTCTAGCCACCTGTTGTGTGACCTTGGGCACATTCCTTAACCTCTCTGGGTCTCATCTGCTTTTGCATCTGTAATGACATACACGATACTATGAATGTGGGGCTCTGTGGACACTGTCCAGTTATGTATATCAGGTAGTTTTACCTGTAAAATGGGTGCGGGTTCAAGCAATCAAATACACTTACAGCTGTAAGTTAAAACCCACTTCCCATTACCCCCCTACAGCTTAGCTCGGGGGCCACCCTACTCCATCAGGTCTTCCTAAGTCCTCCACCTTCAAGGAGGCTCTCTTCTCCCTGAGAGCCTTTGCATCCTTGTCTCCCAGGACTTGAAGATGCTGACGGAGCAGTAACACGGGGGGCTGGGTGTGTATAAAACCTTCCTTCCTCTGTTCCCTTCTTCTTGGAAGTCCTGGATCCTTCCCAGTTTCTACCTTGCTCTGCCCTGTTTCAGGATGAGGCACTTATGGTATCATGAGCACTGGAATGGGAGTCAGGAGTCTAATTACATGGACTGTAGTACTGGCCTCCTACTCTGATGATGGCCCCTAGTGTACTGGTTCCGGAATCATGAAGACTGGGCTTCAAATCCTGGCTTCATCAGCTGTGTGACTTTGGGCAAATCACTTAACTTCTCTGAGCTTCCATTATCTTAACTGTAAAGTGGAGAGCATAGGAATCCACTTCATAGGGTTATTAGATAATGTCTACAAGGTGCATAACATGGGAGTGGCATGTAAGCGTTCAATTAATGTTTAGCTGCTATCATTGGAGGTATTTGAGGGGGCCCAATTACCAGCACTCCCTTCACTGGGTGCAGAATCAACGGGGCATTCAGAAAAGGATGAGACAGATGGAGGCCAAATTATCAACTTTATTAGCTGGGGTTGGAAGACATAGCATAGTGTGAGAACAAATAGGCTTGCTGAGGGAACCCCAGAATAGACAGCTTCAGGACCTCCTCCCCTTCACCCTGTCATAGTAGTGGGCCAGGCCCTTTGCTACTCAGCTCACAGCATGGCTGCAATTGCACCTGCTGTCAAAGGTTTGGGGACGGTCAGCAAAAGTTCTCAGTGGTGAGGCCAAGACTTGAAGCCGCCAGAGGGGCCCTGCACAGCCTGACACAGGCAGCCTTTAGGCTTATCTCCTACCACTCACCTTTGCCTCCTGGAGGCCTCCCTGCCTTCCCCTTCTGTGCCTTTGCTCACACTGTGCCCTCCTCTGGGGCATTCCTCTCTGCCTTTACATAAACGGCCCTCAGCTCCTTGTTTGACCTCTGTGTTAGTAGGTATCAGAGTCTGACCTGTGTGACTGTGATCTATCTGTAAGGTGCCCACCATGGCAGGGACCCTGTGTGGGCCTCTCTCTCTCATACCTGCAGAGATAGGGGAGAGAGAAATTTAGTATTTAGTGTGGGCCTTGTGCTGGAACCTGGGGCTGCAGTGGTTGGCAAAAGGGCCATAGTTTCTGCTCTCATGGTGCTCACATTCTAGGGAAGGGAGTTGGGGATGGAGGGAGGAGGAAGGAGGGAGATTCAGAGACAGGAGAAGGGAGAGGCACTGCAACGAAGGGAGAAAATGAAAGAGGAGAGGGATGCAGGGTGAGGACAAAGTCGGAAAAAAGAGAGGAGGGAGAGGGGCGGAGGAAGCCAGAGGAAGAGGCAAGAACAAAGTGTCAGACTGAAAGGGGGAGAGACACACGCAGCTGCTCACAGGGAGAGGAGACAGGAGGATGGAGGGGTGGGACAGGAGACACTGTTGGGGGCCAGGATGTGCCCCTTTCTGGCTGGGGATGGAGACTCGGGGATTCTTTTTACTACCCTGCCAGGACTGATCCAGGAGCCGCCTTCCCAGGCCTCTGGCTCACCGAGAGGAATGAGATCCCTTCCAGTGGGGTCCCTGGGGAGCCCTCCCAGAGCAGGGAGCCTCCTGGTTTGGGATCTGAATGAGTTTGTGTTGGCTGGTAGCCGAGCCTGGGAGAAGCCAGCGCTGGGCGGCTGTGGGTACCCTCTTGGCAGCTGCTGGGGCCTTCTCCCCACAAAAGGGAAGCCACAATCCTCCAGCCAGGTCCTGAGGAGTCCAGCCCGCTCTCACCCTGCCAACCCCCTCCTACTCCCCTGCCCGTGCCCAGCCCGGATCTGGAGCTGGGGAAGGGGAGTGCTGCCTTTCTCCATGTTGGAAATTAAGAGAATTGTATCCCAGGCATTTAGACCTAGGGTGGGGGCTGGGAGGGAAGTTAAGAGTCCTTTCATTTGGTCTCTGTTCTATATGCTCATTCAGCTTGGGTTCAGACCTGTGTTGGGGACCCAGTGGAGCCCCTGAGGCATCACAGGCTGCTGGGGAGACAGACCTACACTTTATTAATGATCCAAGGGCCAGGAGAGAAGCTTGTAGAGGAACAGGGAGGGAGGGCTTCAGAAAAGGGAGCTTTCGAGGGCCTGTCATGTGCCAGACTCTGGACTCCAAGATGAATGACCTAGTCCCTGCCTCCAAGGGCAGCTCAGAACATGGGAAAAGTCGTGGGTCAGCACGAGCTTGGACTGTGCTTGTAGGTGGTGAGGGGCCATAAAAGGTTTTGAGAGAATCACTTGTGTGTGTTTTTTGCCTCTCCAATTCTCTCCTCTGGGAAACAGATGCAGGGAAGTGAAGGGACTCAACCTAGTGAGTCATAGCTGGGACCAGAACTCAGAACCCTTGACTCCCAGTGGATCCAAGTGCCTAGAGTCCTTTGTTCCTGCCCCGCTCTGCCCACCTGACCTTGGTCCTCCCCAAGCCTCCTCAGCTCCTGCCTCTTCCTCCTTTCTTTCCAGGCTCCTACTTGATGGTCAATGCTTCCCAGCATGCTCCAGGCCAGAGGGCCCATGTCATCTTCCAGAGCCTGAGCGAGAATGATACCCACTGCGTGCAGTTCAGCTACTTCCTGTATAGCCGGGATGGGCACAGCCCGGGCACCTTGAGCATCTATGTGCGTGTCAATGGGGGTCCCCTGGGCAGTGCCGTCTGGAACATGACTGGATCGCATGGCCGTCAGTGGCACCAGGCTGAGCTGGCTGTCAGCACCTTCTGGCCCAATGAATATCAGGTAGGCTGGGTTTGGTCTGTGGTCAGCCTGTGCTTAGGGGTGGGGGTGGAGAGGTGTCAGCCTGAGCTCAGAGTAAGCTAGTGACCGAGGTTGAAATTAGTCTGTGTTCACATCAGGAGTCAATATGTGGTCAAGGTCAGGGGTCAGTCTGTGGTCAGCATCGGGTGATTCAGTGCCACTGCGGTCCAGATTCAGCATCAGAGATCACTGTCAATAGAAATAGTCTGTGGCTAGAGTCAAGGGTGAGTTGGAACAGTGCTGACCTGGAAACCCCGTCTGGCTGGGAGAAGTTTTCCTGCTTGAGAGCAAGGGTCTAGAACTGGGATGGAACCTCTGGCCTTGACCTTGTTAGCTCTGGCTGCTGACACTCCATCCCACAACTAGCAGGCTTGGTAGGGAAGGTCATTGTGAGTTGGGCTCTGACCTCGACTGGTTGAGGAGCCTGGACTGGAGCAGAGCTAAAGGGGTCCCTTGTGGGCACCCCCCCCAGGTAGGGCTGGAGGGATATGACAGGGACCCTCCCGCCTCCCCCAGGTGCTGTTTGAGGCCCTCACCTCCCCAGACCGCAGGGGCTACATGGGCCTCGATGACGTCCTGCTTCTCAGCTACCCCTGCGGTGAGTCCCAGCCCCCGGGGGTGCAGGGTGAGGGGTGTGGTGGCCGTGGCTCCTGCCTGTGGAGGACACAGGACCAGCTCACACACAGGCTCTATTCCTCGCAGCGAAGGCCCCGCACTTCTCCCGCCTGGGCGATGTGGAGGTCAATGCTGGCCAGAACGCTTCCTTCCAGTGCATGGCCGCCGGCAGAGCAGTAGAGGCTGAGCGCTTTCTCCTGCAGGTGAGGGGGGCAGGGACCTTATCAGGGTGGGGGAGATTTCTTCTGGGACCTGGGTTTTCCTTGCGGGGTGCTGAGTCGCTCCTGCATTTTCCAGCACCTCTACTCATGCCTCCCTGCCCTCACCTAGGCTCTGCTCTGCCCTCTTGGGTGCTCTTATACCCCCAGGACCGGGGGGGGAGGGGGGCTCCAGGATCCCCAGACCACCCTCCATCAGAGGCAGAGCTCTACCACATTCCCTTAATCAGCTTCTTATCCCGCACCTTCCAGCGGCAGAGCTAGTTCCAGGAACCCCATATGGGTCCCCTGTGTACTAGGGACAGCTAAATGGGGCCAGGACATAGACTACTCCCCTCGCCCGGGTCAGAGCGAGATCGTGACCCTCCCTCTCGGGCGCTCCTGACCCTGTCCACCTTACCCCTGAGCAGCGGCAGAGCGGGGCGCTGGTGCCCGCCGCCGCCGTGCGGCACATCAGCCACCGGCGCTTCCTGGCTACCTTCTTGCTGGCCTCCGTGAGCCGCTCAGAGCAGGACCTGTACCGTTGCGTGTCCCAGGCCCCGCGAGGCGCGGGCGTCTCCAACTTCGCGGAGCTCATCGTCAAGGGTCAGCCGGCTTACGCTTGCGTAGGGGGGTGGGTGCTGGGGCTGCCCCCCTCCGAGGGGTGGGGTGGGGTGGGGGGCATGGCCGGATAGAGGGGCGTGGCCTGCGGAAAGGTGGGGCCGACAGGGTGTGACCGGGGGCGGGGCCTGCGGAAGGGGCAGTTTCTCCGCTGGAAGGAGGTCTGGATCGAGGGGGCGGGGTCTGAGAGGCAGGCGGGCGGGGAGACCCTGTTAGCTTGTGAGCCACGCGAGGCGGGGTCTGGCTCTGGGGAGCTGGGGTTGAGCCGAGCCTCCTGCGGTCAGCCCCTGAAGGCTAGAATTTGGGGATTCAGAGGGCAGTGAGGGACAGGGTGTAGGCTTAGGGGTGAGTGTGGGATCAGCCTTTGGAGCGGGTGCCCCTTAGGGCCTGGGGATTTAGTGGGCGCGGGCAAGAAAGTCTAGTTGAGGGTCTGGGGGCTTCATCGGGGTCCTGAGAAGACAGGGAGGGCTACTGGGGATTCGGATGTGCTGCCATCCAGAGTTGGGGGCAGGGTCTCACAGCGCATCTTTCGGCTCCGCCTCTCCCTCACGCCCTCGCAGAGCCCCCCACCCCCATTGCGCCCCCGCAGCTGCTACGCGCGGGGCCCACCTACCTCATCATCCAGCTCAACACCAACTCCATTATTGGCGACGGGCCGATTGTGCGCAAGGAGATTGAGTACCGCATGTCCCGCGGCCCGTGGGCCGAGGTGCACGCCGTCAGCCTGCAGACCTACAAGCTGTGGCACCTTGACCCGGACACGGAGTACGAGATCAGCGTGCTGCTCACGCGCCCGGGTGACGGCGGCACTGGCCGCCCCGGGCCGCCGCTCATCAGCCGCACCAAGTGCGCAGGTGGGTACCTCCTGGCCCAACTCCGTCCTTGGGACACCTGGGTATGGGCTCAGGGCTGCCCAGGGATGGACCAAGGGGGCACATTACGGGAGATAATATGGCCTGCACTTGTGCCTCTAAAACATTATAAAACGTCGTGATTTCCCCCCAATCCTTGTTGTGGTAAAGGTAATGGTAGCTAATACTTTGTGCCAGACTCACATATGTGTATAAACACATACGCACACACACAGACGTTGATTTAAATCTCCCAACACTATGATCTCGGTACTCATGTCATACCCATTCTCCAGATGAGGTGTCTGAAGTACAGAGATGTTAAGTGACTGGCACAAGGTCACATAGCTAATAAGTGGCGGAGTTGGCATTGGAATCCTTGACTGGCTGGCTCCAGAATTTGTGTTAATTCTACATTAAAGCATCTAGATAAACAACTATATAGCATAAAATAAAAGTGTGTTATTAAATTTCAGCTGGATTCTCTTGTGGGGTCTTTTGAGCGTGAGGTCTGCTCTTCTTTGTTCAAAAGGGTATAAGCAGCTGTTAGGAGCTATGGCACTCCTACATCAAAGGACACTCTTGTTTAACCTGAAGAGAAATTGAGAATAGAACAGAACAGATTTCAATGTATTTTCTTAATTGGAATCTTTATTGAGATAATTATAAATTCACATGCAATTGTAAGAAAAACTGCAGGGGGCCAGGCTGGCTCAGTTGGTAGAGTATGTGACTTGTGACCTGGGAGTCGTGATTTCAAGCTGCAAGTTGGGTATAGAGAGTACTTAAAAAAAAAAAAAAAAAAAGAAAGGGAAAGATGCAGAGATTGCCCATACACTTTACCCTGTTTCCCGCAATGGTAACATTTTGCAAACCTGTAGTATAATATCACAGCCAAGGTATTGACATTTATATAATCCGCAGATCTTCAGAGTTCCCCAATTTCACTTGTCCCCATTTGTGTGTGTGCGTGTGTGCGTGTGTGTATTTAGTGCTATACAGTTTATCACATGTATAGGTTTGCGTGTTTATCATCATAGTCAAGATACTGTTCAGTCAGTTTAAGACTCCTTTGTGTGGCTCTTTATATCTATTTTCACCTTCCCTTCCTCCCACCTCGGCTCCTGGTAACCAGTAATCTGCCTGTCATTTCTAAAATTTTGCCATTTCAAAAATGTTATATGAATATGAAATCATATAGTATATAAGCTTTTGAAATTGGTTTTTAAAAAGTTGGTAATAGGTTTATTGAGATATAATTCACATCTCACAAATTCACTCATTAGAGTGTACAATTCAGTGATTTATAGTATATTCAGAGTTGTGCATCCATCACAATCTGTTTTAGAACATTTTCATCACCCCAAAAGGAAAGTTTGTACTCTTTTGCAGTCTACTCCTCCCCACATTTCCTCCTACCACCTCCAGCTCTAGGCAACCATTAATCTACTTCCCGTCTCTGTAGATTTGCCTTTTTCTGGACATTTCATATAAATGGAATCATATGAGGCAGAGTCTTTGTGATCAGCTTCTTTCACTTAGCTCGTATTTTCAAGGTTTATCCATGTTGTAGCATGTTTTTTCCTCTTATCTTTTTTTATTGCTGAACAGTATTGCATTGTATGCAGCTGTACTGTTTTTTACGTTCCCATCAGCAATGTATGAAGGTTCCGATTTCTCTGCATTCTCACCAACAGAGGTTATTATCTGTGTTTTGATTATAACCCTCATAGTGGGTGTGAAATGGTATCTCAGTGGGTTTTTGACTTCCATTTCACTGATGGTTAATGATATTGAGCAATTTTTCATGTACTTATTGGCCATTTGTATGTCTTCTGTGTAGAAATATCTACTCAGAGTTTTTACCCATTTTTAAGTTGGGTTATTTGTCTTTGTATTATTGAATTGTCAGAATTCTTTATATATTATGGATGCTAGACCCTTATCAGATATGTTTGCAAACATTTTCTTTGATTCTGTGGGTTGTCTCTTAATTTTCTAAAATGGTGTCGTTTGTAGACAATAGTTTTTCATTTTAAGGAAGTCCAATTTGTCTGTTTTTCTTTTGTTGTTTGTGATTTTGATGTCATATTAAGAAACCATTGCCCAATCCAAAGTCACAAAGATTTACCCCTATTTTTTCTAAGACTTTTATAGTTTTAATTTTTACATTTAGGCCCTTGATCCATTTTGAGTTAGTTTTTGCCTATGTCGTGAAGTAGGGGACCAACTCCATTCTTTTGCATGTGGATGACCGGTTGTCCCAGCACCATTTGTTGAAAAGAGTGTTCTTTTCCCATTGAATTGTCTTGGCACTAAGATTGGCTATTTTGCTCAGTATAATTCCCTGGAGACTCATCCAAGTTGTTACAGTACATCAGTCATTTGTTTCTTTTTATTGCTGAGTAGTATTCCATGGTGTGGATACACTGCAGTTTGTTTAACAGGTGAATACCTGTTAAATGACATCCGGACTGGCTCCTATTTTGGGCTATTATAAGTAAAGCTGCTGTGAACATTTGTGTACAGATTTTTGCACGAGCATGAGTTTTCATTTTTCTGGGATAATTGCCCAAGGGTGTGACTGATGAGTTGTATGATAATTGCATATTTAGTTTTATCAGAAACTGCCAGAATGGCTGTATTGTTTTACATTCTCACCAGCAATGTATGTATGAGTGATCCAGTTTTCTTCATCCTTGTCCGCATTTGGAATTGTCATTATTTTTTTTTTTTTTACCTATTCTGAGAGGTGTGCCGTGGTATCCCATCTTGGTCTGAATTTGCATTTCCTTAATGCCTAATGTTGAACAACTGTGCATGTGCTATTTGCTGTCTGTCATCCTCTTCGGTGAACTGTTCACGTCTTTGCCCATTTTCTAATTGGATTATTCATTCTTTCCTTCTGAGTTTTGAGAGTTCTTTACACGTTTTCTAGATACTAGTCCATTGTTGGGTATGCAGTGTATAAATATTTCTTCTTGCTTTAGCTCATCTTTTCGTACTCTTCACCTGTGCTTTCACAGAGCAACCATTTTTAATTTTGATGAGGGCCAGTTTGTCAACATTTCCTTTTATGAGTTGTGCTTTGGTGTCAAGTTTAAGGCCTCCTTGCCTCGCCTTAGATCTCAAAGATTTTTTCCTGTTTTTTTTTTTTTTCTTCCTGAAAGTGTTCTAGTTGTACTCTACATTTGAGTCCAGTGATCCGTTTTGAGTTAATTTTTGATTAAGATACAAGGTTTTTATTATTTTTGCCAGTCTATATTCTTAAGTGTTTTTAAAAGCTGATCTGGGGAGCCATCGAAAATCCAGTTGAATGTCCCATTTGAAGAGACCCTGGGTGGGGGGTTGGAGTGTTCCAGTGGGAATTACTTTCTAGGTGAGGAATCTGGGTCAGGTTACTTAACCTCTTGGAACTTTCGTCCGGTTGTTTTAGAGGATGAGAAGAATAGGAATCTTTACGACACAGGGTTGGTGTTAAGGTTCATTCAACAAATGCTTATTGTTAGGTATCAGGCACTATTGTAGTTGCTAGGGATATAGGACTGTGGCCACTGTGGCCACGACAATGACCAAGGCCATTGGCTTATGAGGTCCTCCTGCGCTGCAGGAACTCTGCATGGAACTCATATGCTGGCAGGAGGAGACAGTAAAACAAGTGAGATACATAGTTTGTCAGAAGATGATAAGCTCATAAGCGCTGTGAAGAATAAAGCAGGGCAGGCCGGGGTGGGAGGGGGTGGGGTGGGTGTGGGGGTAGGAGGATTGTTATTTTTAAAAAGTGCTCAAGGGACCATTTTACTGAGAAGGTGACTTTTGAGCAAGACCTGAAGGGGTGAAGGACTGAGCCGTGCAAGAAGCTGGAGAAATTGCTGGGGGGGAAAACAGGGTGACATCACCTACTTTGTTCAAAAGGATGACTCTAGCCCTTTTGCGAAGTATAGATTCTAGGAGGGCGAGGGGCCAAGAAGGGCAGACCAGTGAGGAGGCCGCTGTAACAGGGCGGCTGCGAGGTGTGGAGGCTGTGAAGGTCGCGCTGACTGCATTTGCCGACGGACTGCGTATTGCACAGGCGAGGGGGAAGTAGGGAGAAGTCAGGGATGGCTCCAAGGTGTTTTGCTTGAGCAGCTGGAAGGTTGGAGTTGTCATTTACTGGAAAGAAGCAGACCGCAGAGGGGCAGGTGTGACGGGGTGCCGTAGATCAGGAGTTCTGTGCTGGAAAAGTTGACTTTGAGATGCCTATTAGACGTTCAAGTGGAGATATCCATCAGGCAGATGGATTTACGAGTGGAGCTCAGGGAAGAGGTTCAGGCTGCAGATATAAATTTGAAAGTCAGCAGCATAGACATAGATGGCATTTAAAGCCACGAGACTGGATGAGATCTTTTACCCTGGTGGTTCTCGACTTGGGGGTGATTGTGTCTCCCGGGAGACATTTGCAGTGTCTGGAGACATGGGTTATTACAACCGGGGGTGGAGTGATAATGGCATCTGAAGGGTAGAGGAAGCCGGGGAAACTGCCGAACGTCCTATGGTGCACAGACAGCCCCCACAACAGAGAATTATCTAGTCCAGAGTGTCAGGAGTGCCAGGGTTGAGAACCCCAGATTCAGTCCTGAGATTTTAGGGAATAAGTGAACATGGAAAAGAGAGGAGGTGTGAGGCCTGCACCCTTGGGCCTTCCAGTGTTTCGGGTGAAATGCAAATAATGGCCATAAATGTACCGAATACATGTGAAGATGGGGCCTGACATACAGTAAGCACGCAGCAAATGACAGCTGTTATTGTTACAGTGTTTTTAACTCTTCAAAGCCAGTTCTGCTGTGGTATTCAGAATAAAAGAAGTCAGAGCTGGGGGTCCACAGACAATCTCTCTTCTCCTCTCCTGAGTGTACAAATGGGGGAATGAAACCCAGAGAGGGGAAGGCACTTGCCGGGAAGAATGGTACAGTGGGCCCCGGCCGCAGGCTACATGGTGACAGTGGTCGCTAACTCCCATTTCACAGATGAGTAAACTGAATTTTAAAGAGTTAGTCACTTGCCCAGATCCACCCAGTGAGTCCATAGCAGTCAGAACCAAAGTTTGACTCTCCCGATTTCCAGGGAAGTATTTGAAAACTGCAGCAGCCGCGGGCACAGCAGGTGCCATCATGGGCTGACGTGGCCACGTTGTGCCAGGCACTGCTGAGCACTTCACACAGGCTGGCGAAGACAGAAGCTGGGGCCCGGGACCAGACAGACAAAACCTTAATGACTCCTCCTGCCCATCCTAACAACATGCTTCTCTTGGTTCGGTGATGTACCTCCCGCCCCCTTCCCCAGCACCCTGCTTAGGCACCTTGGCCAGCGGTGTTGCGGTTGGTCAGTTGTGTTATCCGCTCCCCCTTCTCCCTGAAACTCCCCTCCTGCAAATATGATTTACTGTAAAAACAGTAATATAATGTCAGGAGAAGGCATTTAAAAAAAATCACTCTAAACCTTGCCATCCTTGCCCAGTTTTTCAGTCTTCTTCAAATCTCTGCCCATATGCCTTTGGTACACAGTTTTACACCCTTGTCATTGGGATGTAGAAAGCATTCTGTAGTCTGCTTCCTCTGCTTTGTGGCGTCCCATGTGTGGTGGTGTTTATAATTATGTTTATTGGCTTTTAGAAGTCCAGGGAGTCTCCATATTGCTGAACTATTATGTTTCCAGATCCTTAGTATTATAAGTAAGACTACACTGAAAAATTTCATTCTTACAGTGTTTTTTCTCCCCGCTCTGGGTAATTTCTGGAGGATAGTCAGGAGCGGCTTAAGAAAGGGCTTTGAAATATATTGCTTTAACAAATAGTTGTATAGAATTTGCACTTTGGGGAGCCCATTGGATTTGAAATTTGGAGCACCAGACCCCACTCCAAAGCCCCTTCCAGGAGAAACAGTTGAATGGTTCAGGGTTATTGCATCCTATCAGAATTATTAAAATCAACACATGTTGGTGTAATTTAACAGGCGCTAACTGTGAGCCTCCCTGTTCGTCTTCCCGTCCCCCTCCCCCACGCATCTGACCTTTGATCTCTGAGTGGCCTGCAGCCCTATGGAATTCAGAGGGATGGGGCTTCGAGGTCCCCAAGTTCTGTTTTGCCAGTGTGTGCTGGCAGCTGAAGAGAGTACGTCTGGGTGCCAGATGGTTTTTGGAAACAGAGAGACTCATGAATTCACACCCTTCAATCAACAGATCAGTCTGTAGTCAACAAACTATTTGAGCCCCTGGATTTGCCCAGATTTGATCAGGATGGGGGGGGGGGAAGAGAAGAGGAAAGTGAGCTTTCTTTTCAAAGACCCCTCAATCCAGTGAGGTCGGTGGGGGCTAACACGTCTTTTAGAGTGAGGTACCCAAGTATGAAGGTGGAAATTTCATCCTCCAGGTTAGAGGTTTGTTATTTTGTGCCATACGAACTGGTTTTTACCAAAACCTGAGTAGGTTGCCAGTATTTAAAAATCTGGAGGTATCACATAAAAATCTGAATTTCTGGCTTCTCTTAAAAAAATGGGAGGATCTCGGGGCGCCTGGGTGGCTCAGTTGGCTAAGTGACTGCCTTCAGCTCAGGTCATGATCCCCGAGTCCTGGGATCGAGGCCCGCAACCGGCTCAGCGGGGAGCCTGCTTCTCCCTCTGGCCCTCTCCCCTCTCATGCTGTTTCTCTCTCTTTCTCCCTCTCTCTCTCAAATAAATAAATAAATAAAATCTTTAAAAAAAAAAAAAGGAGGATCTCGGGGTGCCCGGCTGGCTCAGTCGGTGGAGCGTGCAACTCTTGATCTCCAGGTTGTGGGTTCGAGCTCCACCTTGGGTGTAGAGATTACTTTAAAAATAGAATCTTAAAAAAAAAAGGGAGGATCCGGCCATCCCCAGTCTATGGTCATTCATGGGAACATTGCCTGGAGCTGAGTAGCAGCTGTCCCCTTTGGATGGGACACTTACCGTCCTGTTTGTCATAGTCCCAGCCCAGCCTGTGTCACCAGTTTACAAGTAACTTCTCATGTCTTTCTCTAAATGCTGCAGGAGGGCAAAGGCGGCAGTGCACGTTGGCCAACCCAGCATGGACGCAAAGGGGCTAGTGTCCCCAGGGGCGGGGATGTGCGCAGAGCTGCCGGGAGCAAATAAAGCACTGGGACTTTGGCTCCCTAGACCCCCTGGGACAGACAATACCCATTGGGCAGCCAGGACCAGAGCCTGGAAGTCAGGGAATAAAGCAAGGATCTCTGAACAAGATGGCAGGGCGAGCGCACATGAAATCCGCCCCCATCCACTCCAAACTCCTAAGAATGCGGGTTAAAACAAAACCGCACAGAAAAACACGAGGAAAATCTCTGGGGGCCAGGAACAGGTGAGGAAACAAGCGTGATAAGTGGGCTTGCAGCCAGCAGCCCTCGGATTGCAGTGAGCAGTGGGACCAGACCCTCAGCGTTCTTGTCCTGTGGGGATCGGGTCTGCCTTGTTTGTGGGGAGAAGGTAGCCAGACTGTGCAAGAAGTCAAGAGGTGGGCCTTGCTCCTAGCAGGTGCTGACATATTTCTTTGGTGGCCTGATACATGACTGGAGGCTGCCACTTGCCCGTGGCTCAGGGAAAAAAGGAAAGCTCCAGTGGAAATGAACTTTGTATTGTGCTGTACTTGGGCCGGCATTGTACTCCTGAGTCAAGAGCATGGTGTTTCCCTTTGCCTCTTCTTTGTAAAGAGCATCCTGAGCAAATGAATCCTATAGAAATGATAATAGGGTCATACTTAATCATCTCAAGAGGCGAGCAGCAGTGTTTTCTCATCTGCTCACTAAGGCGTGTCCTGAGAGTCTCTAACTGGGGACGCTTTGCAGGTGCTCATGGAACTTGAGGGTAATGAAACTGCATCTCACAGAGTTAGGGTGCAAGAAAGAGAAGATTGTCAGTAATCTTGGCTTCTTCCATCATTTCCTTGATGAGGAAATTGAGGCCCAGAGATTGAAGATCATGCAGCTGGTCAATGCAGATGGAGCACTAGAGGCTGAGCACCTGGGCTCCATCCTGCCTTTGCTTCAGAAGCCTTGGGTTCTTTACATTTTATAAGTGGCTTCACAGATTCATCAAGAGGCTGTGAAGCGCAGGAACACGCTCCTCCCTCGTGTTGGGGGAGCTGTCCCTCCTGAGGCATTGGTGTGATTTTGTGGTTGTTGCTGCTGGACACTGACTTCCTCATGGGGAGGCAGGTGGTGGTTAAGAGTCTGGATTTTGGAGCCAGCCTGTCCAAGTTTTCATCCCAGTTTCCCTATGTGACTCTCTGTGTCACTGACTCTGGGCAACTTACTTAGTCTCTCTCTGCCTCCATTTCTGTATCTATATGACAGGGCTAGAAATGGCACCTGTCTGTTGGATTACAGAGAGGATTCAATGAAATAATGTATTTTCAAGCCTCCAGAGCAAGGCCTGGCACATGCAAAGCACCCAGTACATGTTAACTGCCATTGTTGTTGTTGTTGTTATTGTTATTATTATTTTAAGATTTGTTTATCTTTTTGAGAGTGAGAGTGAGAGAGTGAGTGTGTGTAAGGGGGAGGGGCAGAGGGAGAGGGAGAGAGAGAGAATCTCAAGCAGGGGCTCAATCTCATGACCCTGAGATCACAACCTAAAATCACAAGCTGAAATCAGGAGTCGGACCCTTAACTGACTGAGCCACCCAGGAGCCCCCTGCCATTATTGTTATTGTCCTTCTATAACAGATTGTATTTCCCTTTTTGCTTTGGCAGCCAGGGAACTCACCACCCAGTCTGAACCTTATCTTTAGACCTGCATGGGACCTAATGGCATACATTTCTGTTTCCCTAACATTCTCTGGCATTATTTATTTGGTTGTTATTTCACCCATCATCCTCATTTCTACATCTTACCGTATTGTATATATTACTATAAGCTGTTTTAGAAGAAGTTAGAATTAATAAATTAAGAAAAATAGAGCATTTGGTCATTTCAGACTGTCCTGATGCCCTCCAGAACGATCTTGAAATAGGAGGTGAATTGTGTTATTAAAAAAAAAAAAAAAACTATAGCTAACACTTTTGAGGGCCTGTTGTGTATCAGCCATTGTCATATGTGCTTTGCACACATTACCTTTAACTTTACAACCAATCCTGTGAGGTAGGGCATATTATCCCATTTTGTGGGGGAGGACACTAAGGCTCGAGGGGCGAAGGGACTCAGCCAGTGGTTGCCAGCAGCAAGGGTCAGAGCTCGGATTCAGATGCGGCCCCGTCTAACTCCAGCGCACACACTTCTACTCCCTGTTCGACGTTCTAGCTGGTCTCTTGAACTCTTGAGGACAAAGGACGGATGATTTCAGCAGCTGACTGATGTTTTCCTATTTCTTCTGCCTTCTGCTCTGTGCTTCCTGGGTTCCCCAGAACCCATGAGGGCCCCCAAAGGCCTGGCTTTTGCTGAGATCCAGGCCCGCCAGCTTACTCTGCAGTGGGAACCTCTGGGCTACAACGTGACACGTTGCCACACGTACGCGGTGTCCCTGTGCTATCATTACATGCTGGGCGGCAGCCACAACCAGACCGTCCGGGAGTGTGTGAAGATGGAGCGGGGTGTCAGCCGCTACACCATCAAGAACCTGCTGCCCTACCGGAATGTTCACGTGCGGCTCATCCTCACTAACCCCGAGGGGCGCAAGGAGGGCAAGGAGGTCACTTTCCAGACAGACGAGGACGGTAAGAGTCCCCGCCCCGGCTCCTGGCGTACTCAGTGCCTCCCACAGGCACCCCATGTGACGCTGAAATGTTTTTAAAAAATATTGTATTTATTTTTTTGAAAGAGAAAGTGGGGGGGCGGTGTGGAGAGCGTGGGGTAGGGGAGGGGCAGAGACAGAGGGAGAGAGTGAATCTCAAGCAGACTCCCCACTCAGTGCAGAGCCCGACTCAGGGCTCGATCTCACGACCCTGAGATCACCACCTGAGCCAAAATCATGAGTTGGACACCCAACTGACTGAGCCACCCAGGTGCCCCCAGGCTGAAATTTTTGTAGGAAGTTTTTTGCTTATGATTAAAACAACTAGGGGCGCCTGGGTGGCTCAGTTGTTAAGCGTCTGCCTTCAGCTCAGGTCATGATCCCAGGGTCCTGGGATCGAGCCCCGCATAGGGCTCCCTGCTCAGCCAGGAGCCTGCTTCTCCCTCTCCCACTCCCCCTGCTTGTGTTCCCCTCTCTCGCTGTGTCTCTGTCAAATAAATAAATAAAAATCTTAAAAAAAAACCACAACAACTCTAAGAGCAAAGTAATGATGGCTAATATTTATTCTCTGGAAGACTGGGTTAGATTAGTATATTTCTTCCTTATATGTTTGAAAGAATTCAGCAATGAAGCCATTTGGGCCTGGAGTTTTCTTTGTGGCAATGTTTTTTAATCATGGTTTTACTTTCTAAAATAGGTATCAGAATATTAAGAATTTCTATTCTAGTATCTGGTGTACTGGGCTTTAAGGAATTTGTTGATTTTACCTAAATTGTCACATTTCTTGACATAAAGTTGGTTATAATCTTTTATTATATTTATTTAATTTCTGTAGGATCAATAGCGTATGTCCCCCTTTTCTTTCCTGATTTTGGTAATTTGTATCTTCTTGCTAGGGGTATATACATTTTTAATCTTCCCAAAGGGCCGACTTTTGGTTTAGTTGATTTGCTTTACAGTATATTTATTTTCTATTCTATATTTCCTTTTTTACACTTTCTTTAGATTTGATCAGCCGTTCTTTTAGCTTTTTGAGATGGAAGCTTACTAGATTATTGATTTTTGAGCCTTTCTTCATTTCTTACATATGCATTTAAAGCTATAAATTTCCCTCGGAGCCCTGCTTTAGCTGCATCCCATGAGTTTTGATATGTTCTGTCTTTGTTATTTTTCAGTTCAAAATATTTTCTAATTTCTGTTGTGATTTCTTCTTTGACTTAAGAGTTAGAATTACATTGCCTGATTTTTAAGACTTCCATAATTATCTGTGACTGATAGCTTAATTCCTCTGTGGTCAGAGTACATACTCTAATTTTGGTCTTTTGAAATTTGATCTTTGTTTTATGGCCCAGCATATGGTTAAATTTTGGGAAATGTTCCATGTGTAACTGAAGAAATTGTGTGTTCTGTCATTGTCGGGTGCAACGTTCTACTTATGTCAAAGCAATACTGATTATGCACTTATTACATGTCAAGCTCTATTGGGAATGCTTTTCATATAATCCCCATGACAAGCCTAGGTGGTAGGCGACCATATACTATCCCCATTTTACAGGTGAGGTCACATAGCTAGAAGATAGGTATCTGAACTGGATTTCAAACTTGGCTATCTGTTTCAGAGTTTTCATTCTTCACAGTGGTGCTGTAATCCCAGCACAGGTCCAAAGCCTTCCCCCAGATTCCTGCAGGTCTGCAGGTACTCTAAGCTCCTTGGTTAGTAATTTTTCTTGACTCCCTACATGTGGACTTTTCTATTCTGCACAGCAGTGTCCCAGACACAAAATTCAGCTCCTTCCTTGATTTCCACAAAACCCCCCTTACCCATGGCAGTGTGTCTGCCCTAAGCCCCGTGCTGATGCGCTGAGGTTTTGCTGGGGGTGGGAGTGAGGACTGCGGGGGATTTACCCTGAGTCATTGCAAATGCAGAGAAGGGAAAACTTAACTTTTTTCCTTCTACTTGTCTTAGGTCCATTGGTTGGGGCCCTATAAATTAGCCTGAGAAAAGACATTAACAAGAGAACAACAGATAGGAATTTATTACCATGTGTGTCACACACACACACACACACACACACACACCACTCAGGAGTATTCAGTGATGAGTAGCTCAAAGGAGTGGCTGGAGTTTAACAAAAGAACAATGAATTTGTAGGGAAGCAACGTGATGGGAAAAGGACTTTGAGATTCTAGGAACAGCAGATTATGCGAAGGCAAATATATGGGGAAACCAGTGGTAGGTAAGGGCTAGTTCCGTAAAGTTTACAGAGATTCTTCTGGGCTGCTAAGGGTCTAGCATTGACTCAGTGCTTAACTTCTTTCCTTCCTGGTAGCGAGGGGAGGGGGCCACTTTTACAAATTTATGTCCTGCTTTTAGGCAAATGGGGAGGACAGAGAACTTTTCTTGTATCTGCTTCTTCTTGATTCAGCTCAAAATAATCCTTATGCCAAAGGGGTATATTTTGGGGTGGCCTATTCTACTACCCTTCACAGTCTGCCTCAAGTTCAACATCAGACCCCTCCATTGTTAAAGTCGGTTGACCTCTGTCTGCCCCCTCCCCCAGGTACGTTGTGGCTGCTTTCCCTGGCTCTGACCGGGCCTTACTTGGGCACTTGGCCTTCTTTCTTTGTTCCTCTCCTCCCGCCCTCCAATAACTGCTCATTACTAAATTTTTAGAATTTTTCGTGGAAACTTTAGTATAATACTTCTAGGAAGTGCACTTACTTGAAGTGGGCAGCTCAGTGAATTCTCACAGACGGGACACACCAGGATGACCCCTATACAGATCAAGAAATAGCATTAGCAGCTCCCCAGAAGCCCCCTTTATGTACTTTCCCACTCTCAACCTCCCGAGAGTAACCGTTATCCCAACCTATAATGCAGTAGATTAATTTTTGCTTGGTCTTGAATCTTCTATCAATGGAGTCATACAGTATGTATTGTTTTTATGACTGGCTTCTTTCTCTTGATTATGCTTGAGAGAGCCGGCCATGTGGTGTGTACAGTTCTAGGGAATTCATTCTTGCTACCAAATAGTCCATTACGTGAATCTACCACGTTTATTTTTCCTATTTTAAATTGTGCTGCAAAGAAAAATCCTTATAGATCCTTTTTTTGGGGGTGGGGTGTAGATAGACACATTTCTGATCGGTTAATGCCTAGGAGTGGAACAGCTAGGTTATAGGATGTGTGTTCACAATAAGTAGATCCATCCAGACAGTTTTCCCCCAAGTGCTCGTGACAGTTTACACACCCACTAGCAGTGTGTGAAAACTTCGGTCGCTCTGCATCCTCACTAACACTTGGAATTGTCTTTTTTCATTTTATCAATTTGGCGGATGGATGGTAGGGTTGCCTTGTGAACTGTTCATTTTAACCCAGAGCACGTTAGCTTCATTGAACACCTTGGGCTCTGCCTTAGGATTTTGGCTTCCCCACAATGGCTTATCAAGGTGTTTTCCCAAAGACTCTTCTCTTCCTAGAAGAAATTCCCTGTGACTGCTGTTGAGATGGTACATTAGAACAAAACCAAACAAAACCAGACCTGAAAGGGTTTATGCGAAAATGCAAATGGTGTCTCCCGGTGATGGAATTTAAGTGCCATTAATTTTCTTGATGCTCGTTTTGATTTTCTACACTGAACACAGTTTTTGTGTAATCAGAAATTTTTAGACAAGAAAACATTTCCTACCCATAATCCCGCCACTCTAATGCAATTGTTTCTATTTCTCTGACAAAGGTCTGTATTTTGTGAAAACCACTCAACTGGAACAAAATAGGAACATTCAGACATTCTGGGCTGGATGCCGCCTGCACAGTAATGAAAAATGCCAGCTACCTCCTTTGAGTTCTTAGGAATAGGTAGAATCAAATGAAGTTCCTGATATTTACCTTGGAGCTTTATGTCCATCACTTCGTTTAATTCTGGTGAGGGAGGGGTTGTTTTCATCCCCCTGTCACAGACGAAGAAACTGAGGCTCAGAGAGGGGGTAGTCTGAGCAGACCAGCTAGGAAATAGCAAGGCTGGAATTTGAATTTAGGTGTCTGGTTCCAAAGCTGGCTTTCCCCTGCCCTGTGCCACCTTCCCCTTGCAGTGCCTGGTGGGATTGCGGCCGAGTCCCTGACCTTCACTCCCCTGGAGGACATGATCTTCCTCAAGTGGGAGGAGCCCCAGGAACCCAATGGCCTCATCACTCAGTATGAGGTGGGTTTGGACCGCATTACAGTGGGGGTCCCTGGTGGAAGGTGGGCACACAGCTTGGAGAGGGAGGTGCATTGGGGTGGGGACAGAAGTGATCACTGAGGTTCCTTCCACTGGTCAGGGTCTGTACCCTGTGGGTTATGGGGACAGGGGCCCCAAAAGAAGAGAGGTGAAGGTGCCTAGAGATCTGGGCTAATGGGCATCCACAGTCCCACTGAACCTCTCCCCTTTGCCCAGCCTTCTCCCTAGCTCTCCTGAACTATGATGGGTGGGAGGCTACGGGGCCAGTGATGACCTTCCCCATCTCTGTGCCCGCCTACCTGCCTGTCCTGCCCCCAGATCAGCTACCAGAGCATCGAGTCATCAGACCCGGTGGTGAATGTGCCGGGCCCACGACGTACTATCTCCAAGCTCCGCAACGAGACCTACCACGTCTTCTCCAACTTGCACCCAGGCACCACCTACCTGTTTTCCGTGCGGGCCCGCACGGGCAAAGGCTTTGGCCAGGCAGCACTCACCGAGATCACCACCAACATCTCAGGTAAGCCCACCTGGCCATGGCCTGACCCCTTTAGAGGTGGCTCACCATCCCAGGGTTCTGTGGGTAGAGGGGGCATGGAAGGGGGTGGGGAGCGTCCCAGAGTTGTTTATAGAGGGCCCCTGCTGAGATGAATGTACCATTTAGGGATTAAGTTCAGGGGTCAGGGAGGATTAAGTCAGAGGGGTCAGGAGACTGTGGAATCTGAGGGCCGAGTACAGGGGTCAGAAGTCAGGGAAGCTCAGGTCAGAGGGAACAAGGCTGAAGGGGAGGAGATCTGAGGACGGGGCAAGGAGGTAGGGGCCTGACCTTCCTGGTCTAGTGGCCAGGCTCCGTGACTATATCCCTGTCCCCTTCCCCAGCTCCCAGCTTTGATTATGCCGACATGCCGTCACCCCTGGGCGAGTCTGAGAACACCATCACCGTTCTGCTGAGGCCGGCACAGGGCCGCGGCGCGCCCATCAGGTGGGAAAGCCTAGATGGAGGGATGGGAGGTCAGGGCCATAGGGAAGAAGCCCCTCCTCTGACCCAGAGCCACCCACGTGGGCCAGCTCAGCCTCATCCTCCTTCAGTTTCCCACTCAGCGCTCAGAGTGTCTGGAGGAGGATGTTTTGTGATCCTGGGCAGGTGGAAAGCCTGCAGCCCCTCCCCTCTGAAGCCATGGGTGTCTGATGGTGATTTCCATGAGATCTTTGGGTAGCGTCCAGCCTGGAGAGGTGTGACTGTCCAGGCCTCAGCTGAGGGTCTTCCCTCAGACATCTTGGAGAAGTGAAACTCTGGGGGCTGTATTTCTTCCCAGCTTTTTCCCCAGAAGGTCCTGGCCAGGGAGACACAGCCTTCTAGAAGGTTGGGGCAGCCAGCCAGACAGGGCCATCTCTGTGAAGTGGCCAAGAGCTTGGCTTCTCCAATTACTTCTCCCTAGAGAAAGCTGGGGCTGCCTCTGCTGGAGAGAGGGTGCTGGAGACAAGATGGTGTGTGTGTGTGTGTGTGTGTGTGTGTGTGTGTGTGTGTGAGATAAAGACACATACTGTATACGTGTGATGTGTGGTGTGGAGGTGTGAGTGTGTGTGCGTGAGAGAGTGTGAGGGTGTTTGTGGGATGTGTGTACATGCCTGCTATCAGCCAGACTCTGTGTTTGTGACTTCACCTGCAGGAGTCACTTTATCCTCCTGGCGGCCTTTGGGGGGGTGGGGTGCTGTTACCCTTATTTTACACATCGGGAAACAGGCTCAGTGGCCTTAAGTCCCTTGCCCTCAAGGTCACACAGCTGGAAGGTGCTAGAGCTGGGATTGGGAACCCAGGTCTGTCTGCACAGCTTGTACCTTTTGAAGTCACAGAGCCTCCCTGCCCCTCTGGTGCACCCTGTCCTCCCACAAAGCTGTGTGCACTGGGAGAGGGGGACGGCCTGTATTTGGGTGTGGAAAGATCCTGCTAAGCCTCTGAGAAGGTAGTGGGTTGGCCATGTGCTCTTGACACTCCCTCACGTCCCCACACACCTTCTCCTGCTTTACCTCCCTGTATTTGCTACTGCAGAGCCTGTCCGGGCCGCTTCCCAGACTCTCCAGGGAGACCCAGGTCAGCGTCAGGATGTTTGAGGGGCATTTTGCATTTCCAGGAGCCTCAGGGCCCTTGTGTGGCTATGTCGGGGAGCTGGGAAACCCAGCAGTGCCTTCTGCTTTCCTGGTCCTCTTGAGAGATCCTGTGAGACGGCCCATTTAGTGTCCCTCAGGGATGACGATGACAAGGTGGGGGGTGGAACATGGTGAGAGGGGGGAGGCATAGTGGCTGTGTGACCTTGGGCCATGTCCCTTTACCTCTCTGAGTCTCCTTTTCCTTGTCTGCATAATGGGGACCATCCCAGTCAAGATGCTTTGTTCAGTGTTGATTATTATTACCTCCCGGTGGGGCGTGGGGCCAGTGGAGGCCTGACCTTGGCCTGGGAAATGGAGGCTGAGAGGGGCCTGGGCTGGCATTTGCCGTGCGCTAGTGACAGGGGACGAACCTGTGTGGCCCAATCCCAGGGCACTGGGGTGATTCCCGCACAGCTCTGGTGTTCGAACAAAACAGCCGGAGAGCCAGCGAAAGGCGTTCCTACTTCCCAGAGTGCAGCCGTCGGAACGGGTGCCACACACCAAGACGTGACCGAGGCTGTGACTAGAAATATTTGAATTTGTCAGCACTCACCTGTTTACTCTTGGCTTTGTTCCACCGAGGATTTGGAGGAGCTCACAGCAAAAGGCTATTCAGTAAAGTGAGACAAATAAATAGAAACACACAAGTCGGGACCAGGAGACACACATCAGAGGGAAGACAGACGAGGGCACACAAATTAGCTGTCAGGACCCGGAGGTGACAGGCTCCGAGTTGCAGACTCGAGGCTGCCTCCAGGTTGGGAGGGTAGCCGGATGCAGGATTTGTGTGGCCTCGCTTGCTTGCTCAGTGGCTGTCTCCCCCACTGGAGGTCAGTTCCAGGAAGCCTAGATCCCCAAGTGCCTACGGAGCACTGGCCCAGCTTCTGAGCTCAAGCACTTTCTGAATGAATGAATGAACACGATGAGTCTGACTCTCATTCCTGGAGGCCCAAAGGGAGCCACAGGTAACCGGGGCGGAGCCCGAGGCTTCGGGTCCCCAGGTCCTTGGCAGGCACGGGAGCACGGGTTGAGGAGGGTCAGGGTGGGGCTCTAGGGCTTGGTGCCACTGAGAGGGGCCCACATTCTTTCCGCCTTCGTCACAGTCCTAACAGCTGACAGGCACTGCCTGCTTCTGAAACTTGCCTCCTTCCTTATATTTAGCTCATGGAACAGTCCTGTGATCACGCTCGCTTTACAGAGGAGGAAACTGAGGCCCAGGGAGGTTAAGAGAGTTGCCCAGCGAGTAAGAGGCAGAACCAAGATTATTCCCAGGCTGGGCCTGACCCCAGAGCCTGTGCCCTTAGCCACCAGATGGTTCTCCCTGTCCCCTGGCCCTGCGGTCATTGCTCTGTCCCCTCCTTGTCCAGCGTGTACCAGGTGATTGTGGAGGAGGAGCGGCCGCGGAGGCTGCGTCGGGAGCCAGGCAGCCAGGACTGCTTCCCAGTACCCTTGACCTTTGACGCTGCGCTGGCCCGCGGCCTGGTGCACTACTTTGGGGCAGAACTTGCAGCCAGCAGTCTGCCGGAAGCCATGCCCTTCACCGTGGGTGACAACCAGACCTATCGCGGCTTCTGGAACCCACCGCTTGAGCCCAGGAAGGCCTACCTCATCTACTTCCAGGCAACAAGCCACCTGAAGGGGGTGAGGGACTGGCAGGGGTTGTGATGGGGATAGGCTGGGGACCCCTCGGAGGAGCCTTCTGAGCAGCCCCCTAGGAGGCCAGAGACCCTCCCCGGCCCCGCCCCCTCTCCAGAACCCCCACTCTCCTTCCCTGAGCCTCCTGACCTCAGCCTCCTTCTCTTAGAGCATCTCCCCTTCCTGAGCCTTTCCCCCAGACTCTTCTATGTCTAAGCACCCCCTCCCTAGTCTATCCCTGCCCTTTCCCTGAGGCCCTAGTGTCTGTCTCAGGCTCCTCTCTCCCCAAGGGTCCATCTCCCGGTCCTGCTTTCCCCAGACCTTGAGGCCCACCACCCACCTCCTCCTGGAAGCCCCACCCTTCTCCAGGCTCCTCCTCTGGGGGCTCTCTCCTCCCCAGGCCCCCCTCTTAACCAGCCCCTTGGCCGCCCCCTTCCCACGCTGTTTCTTTCCCTGCTCCCCCTGAACTCATTCCCCTTTCCTAAGTCATTGCCCTCTTTTCAGGCCCCCCCCCTCCCTGCTTCCCCCTCAGGCCTTCCTGCCGGGAGGGGTGTCTCTAGTCACAGTGAGCACTGGCTGAGCCCTGACCAGGCCCAAGACAAGCTGCCAAAGGATACCCCTGGGGAGGGTTAGGTCGGGGTTTCGGTGGTGCTGAGACCCCCATCTTTGCCTCCAGGAGACCCGGCTGAATTGCATCCGCATCGCCAGGAAAGGTAAGCCCCCCTGGGTTCCTTCCTGGCCTTCAGCAGTGGATTTCTCCCCTCTGGGCTCTTGGGGGGGTGGGCCCTGAGCTCCCAGAGCTGTGAGAGCAGAGGAGGGTGGTCTGGGTTCCCTTCCTGGTCCCCATTTGTCCTACCTGAAGGGCTCCTTCTTCCAACCTTGGGCAGTAGGACTAACCTCTGTCTCTCTTGTCATGGTCACAGAAGTGGCTTTGGCAGAGGCCTGGTACAGGTCTTTGGAGGGCGAGCCATTATGGTTGGGCTGTGGGGGTGATGGCACTGGGCACTGGCTCTGGATTCTGTATCTGCCCCCTTTGTTGTGGGGAAGAGGTGGACCCTGCAGTGTAGACAGGGAATGTGGTTGGTCCCCCATCCTGAGATGCCCTCAGCAGGTCCTAAGTACATAATTCTCTCCCCCCATTGCCTCTCAGGAGGGCAGGACGGTGAGTCTGAAGGCCCCAGACATCCTCCATCCCCTGTCCACTGAAGGATGGGAGTATTTGAGAAAGTAGAGAGGAAAGGGGAGCTCTTCCCGATGGGGTCTATGGGGGTGCAGAAGTTATAAGGATGATGAAGGGGCAGATTGGACTGAAAGGCTGCCTATGAGCTGAGGATGGGGGGTAGTTGTCTTTGTGCACATGTGTTAGTATATTCCTTGAGACTCAGACCCCTCCAGGCAGTGGGTAGGTGGTCCCTATCTCCCCTCTGACCCTTTGTCCCGCTTTATTCTCCCCAGCTGCCTGCAAGGAAAGCAAGCGACCCCTGGAGGTGTCCCAGAGATCGGAGGAGATGGGGCTTATCCTGGGCATCTGTGCGGGGGGACTTGCTGTCCTCATTCTTCTCCTGGGGGCCATCATTATCATCATTCGTAAGGGGTGAGTGAGGCTGGTGCCATGACTCACGCAAGGCTCCCTCACAAGCCTGGTGGGCAGAGAGGAGCAGTGGCTGGGGCCTGGGAGGGCAGCTGTCTGGTGAGTGTGGAAGGTTGCCAACCTGGGCATCCAGCCTGAGGACGGGCCCAAGCCAGGAAGTGGGAAGCCAGAGCCTCTGCAAATGAAGCTGCGCTGGAAGGGCTTGGCTGGAGCTCAGGTCTGGCTGGTGCCAGGTACCACTACCCAGGGAAGGGCGCTCGTACCTGTTGCCAAGGACCTGTGCTGGAAGTGGGCATGGGCTGTTCCAATGGGGAGGGTGTGGAGGTAACCTGACCTCGAATCTCTAGCCCCCTGCAGACCTTTGGCCGACTTGTCTGCCCTGACCCTGGGGTTGTGGTGCTGACCCTGAGCAGTGGGGGTGGGGCTCACTCCTTTTCACACCAAGGACCCTGAACCATGGTTCTTCCTGGGCCCCATCTTCCCTGGGCTCAGCTTGCCCTGGACCCTGTTACTCTTGATCTTTGTGGAATCCTCCTGGGCCCATGACTCAGAGGAGACCTCGCTCCTCCCATCCCCCAGGCCTTCAAAGTCTGGCGTGCTTCTGAGGGGTGCCTTTCCTAGGGCATTTTGCAGTGGGCAGCATGAGTCCCAGCACCTCTTAGGATCCAGAACTTAGAATTTCAGAATTTCAGAAATCCAGGATTTGGGATTCTAAGAATCTCAGAATTTAGAATTGTAGAGGCTCAGAGCCCAGGAGGTGAGAGCTGCGTGGTAGTTCAAGGACATCTGGTCTAGTGGTTTTCAAATCTTCTTAAAGCAACAGAACCTGTTTTCCGAACATCAAATAAACCTCCCCTAGGAGGCCCAGTACACGGAGCAGATGAAGGCTGAGCCTCTGGTTGAAGCAGGGGTGGAGGCTTCTGAGACCACTCTGGTTCCCCTCCCCTCCACTTCATTCCCCACCAGGCAGCCCCAGGACACTGGTCCAAGCACCATAATTGAAGGGTGGAGATGTTGAGGCCCCAAGGGGGCATGGGCCTGCCCGAGGTCACCCAGGGAGCCCTCTCCCAACCTGGGCTCTGCGCACCTGCTTCTGGGCTGGTGCTGGATCTCAGGGCTGCCAGGAGCAGTTAAGTAGGACCAAGGGGGATGAGGGAGGACTGGCTAGGGCTGCATTTCCTGAGGCCAGGCACCGGCAGAGAGAGACTCTCCCAGAGAGTCCGGGGGTAGGGTTTCCAGGGCATGAAGCTGATTTTTTTCCTTCCCTAGTCCCTACACAGCTTCTTGGGATAAATTAAACTATATCATTTCGTGAATATTACTGTGTGCCCAGGGCTTCACACACACCACCCATTAGAACATTAGTTATTGAGCACCTACTGTGTGCCAGGCACTGTTCTAGCACTCAGGATACATCAGAGAACACTTCCTTCTTGGATCCTGACCCATGAAGCAGGTCTGAGCCCCTTCTCACAAATGAGGAAACTGTAATTGAACGACTTGACCATGTCACTCGGCTGGTAAGTGACAGGGCCTGGCTTGAACCCAGTCCTGACTACAAAACCCGGGCTCCTTAGGGCCAGGGATGTGAAGGGCCTCACCATGTCTAGTGCACAGTAGGTGCCCAGAATTAGCAAGTTTCTGTCCTCTCCTGTGGGGGACCTGGAAGTTAACTCTGAGGTAGGGTGGGGTGGGGAGGGGGGCAGATGGTGAGTGCTGTAGGGGAGTGGTCAGATTTTGGGGGGTTGCAGGTAGTATTTGAGGCCTTAGAAATGAATCCTCAAGGAGAGAGGATTGGCCAAGGGGAGGGTGTCACCCATCTCTGCAGAGCATTGGGCCCAGGAGAGGATGGTTAGAGAGGATGCTGGGGCCTCACTAGGAAACCCTGCACTCTACACAGCTGCTCCCCCATAAACCCTTCCAGGCTACCCTTGAAGCCCTTAGGATCCCCCTAGACTTCCTTCCTTCCTCTAAAAGCCATTCACTTGCATTCTCTAGCACCCCATTGCATCCCCCTAAATCCTATCCTGGCCTTCAGGGTCCACCATGCTCCTCAGGGCTCCCCTGGTCTGCATTGTGGGGTGTCAGAGCAGGTCTGGCAGCGACGGAGGTGCCCACATTAAATTTCATGGGCAGGTCAGGCGGTTGCTGAGGGAGGGCTGATACCCAGTTGCCACCCTGTGCATCCTTGTCAGAGGAAGGTTGTGGAGAGACAGTGTGTGGGGGGGCCAGGGGGACGGTGGTCAGGCTCCCCATCCTGCCCTGCCCGGGTGGACAGTGAGCCTGGGTGCATCTGCCCTTGGGGAACTCCCCAGGCCGGGTGTAGCCCTTGTTCTGCTTCCAGAATCCCATCCTTCGCCTTCATAGTATTTTCTTCTCCCTGCATTTTTTTTTACTTAACTTGGAGTGCTTGGCTCAATTGTTTCTCTTCCCTGCTGGACATGAGAGCTCCGTGAGGGCAGAGAAATTCTGTCCTGTTGGCTGTGCATCCCCAGGGCCTGGCCCAGTGGAGTGGGGTCCTCCTAAACTACCCCCCCACCCCGCCGCCAGCTCCCAGCTCAGCAGGTGGAGGGAAGCAGGGAGGAGCTGGGCTGACAGCGGCCCCTTGGGCAGGGTCATTATTAATCTCACTTGTTTGGAGGAGGCTATGGAAACTCACAGAGGTGGAGGACTTTTATTTATTTTCCCTGTTTATTGATTACTTAATTCAATGAAATATTTATTGGGGGATCATTGTGTTCTGGGCTCTGTCCTGGGCCCTGGGAGCCAGCAGTAGGCAAAAGAGACAAGGGTACCACCTTTTGTAGCTGGTGCTGGGGCCTGGCATTAAACCAGAAACAGCACGGATGCGTAATTACAGATTGTGAAAAGAACAGGGTGCCGGGGTGGGGGGCAGAGGGAGGGTACAGGTGACACAATAGAGTTGGCAATTATGGGGGAGTCTTTGTGGAAGGCTCTTGAAAAGTCTTGACATTACAGCTGAGACCAGAATGCCATTCCTTCAGCCATCCCTCCTCTTCAGGGCCCCTGTAACCAGCCACGGGCCTGCGCCCTCCGCTCTCTCCTGGGATGGATGAGAGGAGACATGCTGTGTGGCCTCCAGCCACTCTCCTGCCCTCACTGGGCTTCGGCCTTCCACTCTTCTCTCCCTCCCTTCCCCCAGTCTGCAGAGTCCCTCGTGGAAGGCTGTTCCCTGGGGTCGCTGCTGATGGGGTGGTGTGGGGGGCAGGTGAATGGAGGACCCCTGGATGTGCCCGGATGGGGCCTCAGGAGGGAGCTGGCTCTGGGGGTCAGGGTCCTGGGACAGGCGTCTGCACTCTGCCCCTGACCCCCAGAGAGGCCTTGGAGGACCACGACTGTCTGGGACTCAGCTTCCCCACCTGCGAAGTGGGATCAGACTCAAGCCATGCTTTGGGTGCCCAGAGGGGGCGGCCCGGCTCCTCTGATGGACCCCACACTCAGGGGCAGTCTGGGTCGGGGAGAGCGGGCCTCACCTTTGCCCTGGAGTCCAGCTGGAGCCCTCTCCACCTCCCCCCTACCCCCACCCCCCAGCCAGGGTTCCCTCCCAGGCACAGGTGTATGCGGAGGGCTGACCCCTCAGGGGTAGAGGGGCCTGCAGGTGTGAGCAGCATTGGGACTGAGGGGTGGGGCTGCAGGGGAGAGCAGGGTCACCTGTGAGCACATGAGGGAGGGTGTCTGTGCGTGATTGTGTATCCACATGAGTGTGTCTGTTTATGTGTGAGTGTGTCTGTTTATGTGTGAGTGTGCCCAGGGCACAAGTGTGTGTATTTCTCTCTGTGTCCATGCCTGTGTGACTGTGTGAAAGCTCGGCTTCCCCAGGCCCTGTCCCCACCACCTCCTCCCCCCAGCAGCAGGCTTGGGGAAGGTTCTAGAAGGGGCCTCGGGTCTTGGTTTTCAGCGACTGAGCCCAGCCAGCCCTTGGGACAAGGAAGGTCCTCCTGACCTGTCCAGTCCCTGGCCAGCACCCTCCCCAGCACAGAAAGCACCAGGCCCCTCCCTGCCCACTGGGTGCTGCCCTCGGCCCACCTTGTGGCAGGACCACGGGCCCAACTGTGCTCTTCTCTTTGCATGCTGCCAGGAGGGACCACTATGCCTACTCCTACTACCCGTAAGTAGCCCCGCGCCACCCCCTTGGGCCCTGTGTCGGCCTCCTGGTGTGGAGGGCCTCTCGCGGGTCCCTCTCTGGGGCCCACAGCCGCGCACGTGTGTGTGCGTGTCCGGGGCAGGCCCGTCCCCACCCTGGCAGCTGTCCCCACGGTACACACAGCTCTCAGGTCAGCACAAGCCCTTTCTCCAGCCGGGCGGCCCCAGGCTCTTCAGACCCACCATTTCTGGGCGCTTCCTCTGGGCTCGGACCCCAAGAAGCACGCACTGTCATCCCTCCCGTGTTACTGAGGAGGAGACCGAGGCTCAGAGAGGTGAAGGGACGGGTCAGAGGTCACAGGAGGTGCCAGAGCTGGGGTTACCACCCAGGCCCCATCGGACTGCCTGGTCTCCTGATGGTCCTCCGTGTTCTGCCTCTGTCTTCTCTGACTCTGCAAGCCTTCCAGAACAGTCCCTGCACCCGTGCCTGTTCTCGCTCCTAGCAGAGCAGGCTCAGGGGGCCCCAGGACAGCCCAGAGGACGGGGGTCTCTCACCTCCTCCTCCTGGACCCTCTCCTTGCATCCACATCACCCAGGGTCGCACCAGCTTTTCCAGCAACCACACCCCGTCGGCTCAGGGGGAGCCTCCAGCTGGGCTTTTCCAGAAATCGCGGACAAGACGGTTGTCCCGCCCTCTCTACTTGTGCACTGAATGTTTGACCCTAGACGCAGAACCTTTCCAAGTGTCCGATCGCCCTCCCTCTGCTGACTCTCACCCTGATCAGCTGCGGCCGGCAGTGGTCGCCGTCCCTCTGGCTTCTGGCTTCTGTGGAGCTGGGTGCTTGGTGTGTGTCGTTCTTCCCCGTGAACCGAGAGGCCTGGGCAGGGAACAGAGCCCTGGGGCACACCACTGGAGACTGCCTTCTAGGCACAGCTTGACTGCCGTCCTCTGTCCACGGCCCTCCGTCTGTCCTCCCTCTGATGCTGGTGTCTGCCCGTCCCTCCCTCTCTCTCTGTCCCCTTCGCCATCTCCCTCCTTGTCAGGGTCCCTTCACTGTCTCCCCTCCCCCCCCCTTAGCTCCCTGATTCCCCTGCCCCCTCCTCACCTCTCTCCCCCTCCCTCCTTCCCCCTCCACTTCTCTCTTGTGTTGATGGTCAAGATCACAGTCACAGAGGCTTCTCCTCACCTGCCCCCAAGGGGGTCCTCGGCTCCGCCCTGGGCCATGGTGAGGGTGATGCCCAGAGCTTGGTGGTTGGGGTCACCCAGTCTTCCCCTGCCCCAGACAGCTCTTGAACTAGGACAGACTGATTAGAATTTGCCTGTCTGGGAAGATCCCTTCCTTAGCCTCTTTATCTCCACCGATGGTCAAGGTTCCTGAGCCCTCTTAACCTGGAAGTCCTCTCTTGGGTCTACCCCACATCTTGCATGCTGTACGGCCCATCAGGGTGAATGGCTGTCTTATCTTGAGCCTTCCCTGTGACTGGGCCCCTGACTCCACTGCAGTCTCAAGACAGGTCCCAAGTCATTCCCTTTTTCCCTTTTGCCCAGCCCCTCGGTCATGGAGCTACACCCCTGCTCTTCCTCCCATGTCCCTCTGAGTCCTCTGGAGTCACAGACTGCCATCCTCATCTATAGAGCTGGGCTGGAGGCCTGGGCTGTGCAGGGCCCTCGTCTAGGGTCCTATCACCAGGCCTCTCAGGAGGGACTGGGCCTCTTGCTTTCTCCCTCTGCTGCTTCCAGTGGCTGGATGGACTGGTGGGCCGTGGCAGGAATATGGGCCCTGTATGGATCTCTGTACCTGTCTAACGTGGCCCATGGTGGGACCATCCTGGGGGTTCTGGGGATAGGAAGAAGCCAGTCGGAGTTCATTTCCTGCCCAGAGGAAGACTCCTGAGTACTGGCTGAGCAGCAGCCAGACTCTCTGCCATGAAGGAGGAGCATAGTGCACCCCCATTGTGGGGAAAAGGGATTCTCAGGGCACATGTTCGGTGAGGATGGGGGGAGAGGAGGATGGCTCTGGGGGCGTGCTGGGGCTGGAGCTGGGGCAGTCATCTTCCTAGTTTGGATGAGGTGATTGCTGTGACACCAGAATAGTTCCAGAGTGACTATCCTTCCCATTTCCTGAGCCCTCCAGGCCAGTGACAGGGGCCAGGTCCCAGCCCGAGGCTGCTGGGCTTCATCCCTTGTTCTCAGCAAGGGTCCCCAGGACAGGGACTCTGCCTAGTCCCTTGTGGGGGAGGCAGCAGCTCTGGGTTTGCCAAGCAAAGGGTAGAGGCAGAGCCCTCTTGGTATCTAGAGATGCTTCTAGAATGCCCCCCTGGCCTCAAGGCCCCCTGACTGTTGGGCCTCCCCATCCACCTCTGGGCGTTGTCCGGCCCAGCTCAGCACCTATGTATGTCTGTTGTCAACCCCTCCCTGCAGGAAGCCAGTGAACATGACCAAAGCCACCGCCAATTACCGTCAGGAGAAGACCCACATGATGAGTGCTGTGGACCGGAGCTTCACGGACCAGAGCACCCTGCAGGAGGATGAGCGGCTGGGCCTCTCCTTCATGGACACGCACGGCTATAACCCCCGAGGTGAGTGCCTGGCCCTCCCGCCCTTCCCCGTGGCTCTGGGATTCCACACCTGAGCCAGGAGGACCGAGCCCCTCCGATGGGTTCTGTAACACCCCAAACCCAAAACGAAGTGTCTGTCGTGCTCCCGCTGGGTACCAGCACTGGGTAATGCATAGGAGGCACGGGTATTCCGTCTGCACTGGGCGAGCTTTAGGAAAATGGAGGACTTAGACACAGACTCATAGGGGAGGCATGCGAGGTCACCTGTTGATTGTGGGAAGTGTTCCGGGGACTTTGAGAAAGGAGTGACGCTGCATGATCAGAGGGGACCAGAGCAGTCTTGAGCCTGCTGAGCACCTGCTGTGGGAGAGGCAGGGGACCAGTGGCTAAGAAGGATGGTTCTGGAGTCAGACAGACCTGGGTTTGCATCTCGCATCCCCTTAGCTGTGTGACCTGGGGCAAGCTGCTTAACCTCTCTGGATGTCTGCTTCCTCATGTACAAAATGGGACCAGTGATCATCTCTGCTGGTAGGTCTACTGGAAGACGAGTTTGGCTATTATTTGTACATCTTATAGTTAGTGCTGTGCCCAGCATGCAGGAAGAATACGGTGGATCAGCTGTATGTGCTTGGAGCTTGTCATAAATCACTTCCTCATGCATCTTTTTATTCTATTTAGTGTTGATTTGTACAAAAGAAAATAGGTAATGTTTCTGGAAGTCATGCAGCAATAATACAACAAACACGGCTGAGCCACACTGGTGAATTAGGACACTGTCTGGGTGTCCCTCCCTAAGAATATGCCCCACACCCCTCTTACACATAAACACACAACCCCCCTGAAATTTGTGTCTATAATTTCCTTACCCTTTGGGGAGTAGTTTTACCATGTGTACATGCAGCCCCAAACAGCGCATTATGTAACTTTGCTCGTTTTTTGAGCTTGTTACAAATGCAATCACACTGTTTCTCAACTCAGCGTTGTGTTTCTCATATTTGCCCAGGTGGATGTTTCGCTGTAGTTTGTATAGTTTTCCATTCTATGAATGTATTGCAATTGATTTCTCCCTTCTGCCATCCAGCGACATCTGATTTGCTTCCAGTTTTCTGGTTATTACAAACGAGGCTGCTCTGAATGTTCTTAAATGGATCTCCAGATGCATCTGCACGGGAGATCTGAGACATAGAACAGCCGGATTGCAGAGCGTGTGCTTGCTCCCCTTGGGGAGACGGTGCCGAGCCGTGTCCCAGAGTGGCTTTGCCTGCGCTCACGGCCAGCAGCAGCGAGCGAGGGCTTCTGCGGCTCCACGGCAAGCTCAGAATTTGCCAGGCTTCTTCACTTTTGCCAAACTAGTTTGTATAAAATGGTAATTCTCTATAGTCTTAATTTGCATTTCTCTGATTACTAATGAGGTTGAGCATATTTTCAAATCATTATTGGCCATTCATCGTTCTTCTTCCATGAAATGCCTGTTCATGCCTTTTACCTAATTTTCTATTAGGTTTTCTGTTGCTTTCTTAGTGGTTTTTAGGAGTTCTTTATATATTTAGGATGATAATCACTTTTCACTTATGAATTGCAAATATCTTCTCTCAATTTGTGGCTCATCTTCGCAGGTTATTTATAGTGTCTTTGGAGGAACAAGTTTTTATTTTAATTTAGTCAAGTTCATCAGTCTTTTCCTTTCTGATTTCTACTTTTTGTGTTTTTTTCCAAGAATGCTCGCTTCCTTTGCAGGGTCATAAAATATTTTTTACTTTTTTCTAAACCTTTTTATATTTTTGCATTGCACATTTCAATCTTTACCCTTCTGTGATTGATTTTCGTGTGTCATAGGGATGAAGGATTTTCTTTTTTTATATTTTCTTTTATTTATTTTTCTGTAGTAACTCATGTCCCAGCTTCTGTTACAGTTTGTATTTTCACCACTGACTGTAAAGCCACCCTCATCAGGGATCATGCTTCCATATATTTGTGGATTGTTTTTTGGCTCCTTGTTCTCTTTGATCGGCCACTTTGGTGATTCCTGTGTCTGTTGATACCTGATTGCCTCATTACTAGAGTTATGTAAGTCTTGTATCTGGTACATCAAGTTCTCCCGGCTTTGCTCCTCATCAGGAATGTCTTGGCTACATTTTTCTTAATCTCTTTCTCATACATTTCATTATATTTATTTAGAGAGGGATTGTGTGCAAGCAGGGCGAAGGAGGGGGTAGATGGACAGGAAAAGAGAGAATCTTTTTTTTAAGATTTTATGTTTTTGAGAGAGAGGAAGAGAGAATGAGTATGAGTGGGGTAAGGGGCAGAGGGAGAAGCAGGCTCCCCGCGGAGCAGGGAGCCTGATGTGGGGCTCGATCCCAGGACCCTGGGATCATGACCTGAGCTGAAGGCAGATGTTCAACCAACTGAGCCACCCAGGTGCCCTGGGAAAGAGAGAATCTTAATCTCCACGCTCTGCATGGAGCCTGATGTGGGGCTCGATCTCATAACCCTGAGAACTGAAATCAGGAGTTGGATGCTTAACTGAGCCGTCCAGGCGCCTGTCTCTCTCATACATTTCAGAATCATCTTTTCAAGTTACTTGGAAAACTTTGTTGGGTGGATTTGTATTAAATGTTCAGATCAATTTGGGGAGAACTGACATCTTATGAAATTGTCTTTACATCCGTGGAAGGGATATATATCACCCTATGTATTTAGGTCTTGAGTGTCTTTCGGTAATTTTTTCCATAAAACTTTGCACATCTTTTGTTAGATGGACCCTCAGGTCCCTTGTATTTTTGATTTCCATTGCAAATGGTACATTGTGTTGGTGTGTGTGGTAAAATACACGTAACGTAGAATTTACCATCTTAACTGTTAAGTGTGCAGTTCGGGGATATTAAAGACATGCATAATGTGCGACCATCACCTTCAGCCAACCCCATAGCTCTGTTCATCTTGTGAAACTGAAACTCTGTTCCCATGAAGCAGTAGCCCCCCATTCCTGCCTCTTCCTGGCCCCTGGCAACCCCCATTCTACTTGCTGTGTCTGTGAATTTGACTACTCTAATTATCTCGTATACATGGAATCATAGAGCATTTGTCCTTTTGTGACTGGCTTGTATCACTTAGCTGAATGTTTTCAAGCTTCTTTCATCTTCGAGCATCTTTCAGAATTTTCTTCCTTTTTAAGGCTGATGAATATTCCATGACATGTATGTACCACGTTTTGCTTATTCATTCATCCACCCATGGACGCTTAGGTTGCTTCCATGTTTTAGTTATCGTGAAGAAGGCTGCTATGCACATGGGTGTACACATATCTGTTTAAGACCCTGATTCAGTTCTTTTGGGTACATATCCAGAGGAATGGCTGCATCATATGGTAATTCTATTTTTAATTTTCTGAGCAACCACCATACTGTTTTCCATAGTGGCTGTACCGTCTGGCTTTCCTTCCAACCGTGCATAGGGGCTCCACATCCTTATAACACTGGTTATTTTCTGGGTTTTTTTTTTTTTTTTGATAGTAGCCATTCCAGTGGGTGTGAGGTAGTATCTCACTGAAGTTTGGATCTATATTTCTCTAATGATGAATGATGTCACGTTGTGTGTGTGTGCTATTTGTGTATCGTATTTGCAGAAATATCTATTCAGGCCCTTTGCCCATTTTTGAATTGTTTTTTTTGTGTTTGTTTTTTTTTTTTTTGCTGTAGAGTTTTAGGAGTTCTCTCTGTACTCTAGATATTAACCCCTTATCGGATATATGATTTGCAAATATTTTTTCCTCTTCGGTGGATTGCCTTTTTACTTTGTGGATTGTGTCTTTCGGTGCACAAAATTTAAAAAATTTTCATGAGGTCCAGTTTGTCTATTTTTATCTCTTATTGTCTGTGCTTTTGGTGTCGTAGCCAAGAAATCATTTGTCAAATCCAATGTCATGAGGTTTTTGCCTTTTCTTCTAACAGTTTTTTTTTATCTTTTTAAAACAATTATTATTTTTTTTATAGAGACAGAGAGCACATGAGTGGGGTGGAGGAGGGGCAGTGGGAGAGGGAGAGAGAGAATCTCAAGCAGACTCCATGCTCAGTGCAGAGACCGATATGGGGCTCGATCTCATGACCCTGAGATCATGATCTGAACCAAAATCAAGAGTTGGATGGACACTCAGCCAACTGAGCCACCCAGGTGGCCCTCTTCAAAGAGTTTTATAGTGTTAGGTCTTACATTAAAGTCTTTGATCTAGTTTGTGTTAACTTCTGTATATGGTGTGAGGTAAGGGTCCAACTCCATTTTTTTTTGCATGTGGATGTCCAGTTTCCCAACACAAATGGTACACTTTTAAAATATAACATTTCTAATTGTTGCTCATATAGAGAAACATAGTTGATTTTTTATGTATATATATTGATCTTATATCCATAGTCCTTGATAACCTTACTTACTAATTTTCATTTATCTGTAGAATCTTTCAGGTTTTCTGAGTATGATCGAAGGATCTGTAAATACAAACAATTCTGTTTCTTCTGTCTCACTTCCCTTCCTTTTTTTTCTTGTCTTTCTGAGTGGCACTGGATGGGACCTCCAGCACTGGATTGGATGGAAGTGGTAATAGCAGGAATCCTTGTCTTGTTTTCTTGGATTTAAAAAGAATGCTTCTGACATTAAACACTGAGAATGAAGTTTGCTACAGTTTTTGGTAGAAATGTTTTATCAGGTTAAAATTCTTTTCAGTTTTTGGTTTGCTAAGAGGTTTTATTTATATGAGCATTAAACTTACCAAATGCTTTTCCTGCAGTATTTTATATATATAAATACGTATATATATATATACACACACACACTCACATATATATGTGTGTATATATATGTGCATATGTATATATAGTTGTTAATGAGGGGAGTGACATTTTCAGATTTTCTAAAGTTAAAATAACCTTCAATGCCTGGGGTAAAATCAGCTTGGTCATGATGCATTATATTTTTTATGTCTTTTTGGATTTCAGTATAGGTATAATATTGTTCAAGATTTCAAAGCTATATTCAAGAGTGGGATTGGCCCATGTTTTTCTCTTTTTTGTCCTATCCTTGTCTGGTTTTTGGTATCAAGATTCTATTAGTCTTGTAAAATGCACTGAGGTCTCTTCTCTTTTTTCTTTATTATGAAAGATTGGAATAATTGACACCTTGAGAGTTTGGTGGAATTCACCTATAAAACAATCTCTTCCTGTTGTTTTCTTCATGGAAAAATTTTAAACTTTTAATTCAGTTTATTTAAAGGAGTAGAGGACTATTGAGACTTTCTATTTTTTTTTTCAAGCCACTTGTAGTAAGTTATTATTTGTTTAGGAATTTGTCCATTTCATTTAGGTTTTAAAATTCACTGACATGCCCTTATTTATCATGTTGTCTTTGTGGTCTTCCTCATTAAATTTTCACCCCCCCCGCCCAGCACAGTAGCCATTATCAACTCATCTTACAAATGAGGAAGCAGAGAGGAAACAGAGAGGCTCAGAGAGGGGAAGTCACTTGTCAAACAGGCAGAAAGTGGCAGAGCCAGGATTTAAATGCAGGTCTTTCTGAGTTGCAAAGAGCTGCCTCGAGTGAGGCATAGGCAGGATTTGGACAGGCAGAGATGGGAAAGGAAGGGCATGCACGGGTGAGGGAGCACACAGAGATGTATGATTGGGCGGGAAACTCCAGCGGTCGGTGGGGAGAGTGGGAGGTGGGGGCAGTGTGGGCGCCTGCCTTGCTGCTGAGTCCTCTGGAGAGACCCAGAGAGGCAGGATGCCCGGGCTCTGCCCCCAGCCCCCTTGCTGACAGCTGGGGAGACCTGGCCAAGGGAAGTCAGCCCCAGGCTAATTGCCATGGGGATGGTGGAAGCAATTAGTGCTGTAGGAGTTTTGAGAAGAAGTGCCTTTGGGCAGAGGTGGTCAGGGTTTGGGCTGGGCTGGACAAGATGTGGCCGCTGGTGAGGAGTAACCATGGGCACAGCGCAGGCTATGGTGGAGGTGTGGTCAGGAGACTGGGGCCGTGGGTCCGCCCCTTTTCTCTCCCCACGCCCTACGCCCCAGCCTCCACTTCCTTCGTTGCTTTCCAAACAGAGGAACCTCGATTTGGGTGGTGGGGAACAGAAAGCCAAGGTGACTTGGCTGCATCCTCAGTCTTTTACAACGGGGACTTACCACGCTGAGTAAATGGTGGCAGGCTGGCCGTGAGGAAGGTGGCTGGGATGTTCCCAGCATGTGGGAATGGGTCCCCCACTGTGTCTGAAATCCAGCCTGTGAAAACCCTCAATCCTTTCTGAGCCCTGTCCATCTGGAGCTCTTGACCTCTGTTGGTGCCAGTGGGTTCTGCCCGCCGAATGGTTTGTCATATAAGTGCTAGGTTCTCTTCTTCACCACACACTCTCCTTTATCAGGAAGAAAAAGACAGGGAAAGTAGGGTAGACAACAGGGCCCCAGAGTCGAATGGGCCTGGGTTTGAATCCTGGTGCTGCTGCTTAATGACTAAGTAACTCACCCCTTGTGGGCCTTGGTTTCCTCATTTGGATAGGGCATGACAATAATGCTTAAATCATAGGAGTAGTCTAAGGATTAAGTGACTTAAGTATCATGCCAGGCATATGAAAGTACTTGATATGTAAGATAGTGTTAGCTATTATTACAAGCTATGTTTCTTTAAAGTTATTTCCTAATTGCACTAGGGAAGGAAAAGTCTGGAGTGCTCCTAGATCATATAACTGGGAGCCTGTCTTCGTCTGAGGTGGGTGGGAATCGGGTAAAGGGCCCATCTTTTCATTTTCAGGTGGAGAAACTGAGGCCCAGAGAGGTCAAGTGACTTGACTCAGAATTTGAATTTGGGTCTGGCTCCAGACCCAGTGTTTTTTTCCCTCTGGGCCTCAGCCCTCCCTCCCCAAACCTCAGCTCTCTGGTGGTTACTTGCAGATGTCCCACAATCACGATGGAGCTGGGGAGAGCCTGGAAGAATCCCCGGGTGGCAGTCTTGAAGCTGAGGGCTGGCACTCACCTTCTTCCCTCTCTTCCTCCAAGCTGGTCCTTGGGGTGGGGGTGGGGTAGGGGGGAGAGTGTGTGTCTCACATCGCACAAGGAGAGTAGAGACCTGTCTTCTCTGGGCTCAGGAAGTAGAAGAGCCTCTTGGCAATGTCACTGCTCATCACCCTGTTATCTTCTGGTGGTCTTTGTTTCGTTTTTTGTTTTTTTAAAGATTTTATTTACTTGAGAGAGAGAGAGAGAGAGACAGCGCTAGAGAGATAGAGCATGGGGGGTGGCGGGGGTGGGGCAGAGGGAGAGGGAGAAGCAGACTCCCCACCGAGCAGGGATCCTGACGCGGGGCTCCATCCCAGGACCCCAGGACCATGACCCGAGCCGAAGGCAGACACTTAACCAACTGAGCCACCCAGGCGCCCCTTCTGGTGGTCTTTGTATAACATCTTATATCCCTCTTGGGCTCAGGCAGAAGCCCAAGATTTGGCTTTGGCTTCCCATCAGGACCCCGACCAGGTGGGATTTTTTGCTTGTCTTCAGCCATTGTAAGCTGATTCTGTGTGTACCTGTGAGGCTGCATCAGGACTGACCCTTCAGGTCATCAGGGATGGGCTGTTGGACTCCCCACACCCTCCTTTGTCCCTTTCTCCACCTGGAGAGCCCTCCAGGGAGCTGTCGGCATGGCTTCCATGAAAAGCACTAGGACCTCCCTGTCTCCCAGTGTGTCGAATCAGCAGATATCCTTTGTCTTGAAATCTTTGCCCTTGTGTATTTATTGTAGATGCTCTTCAGAATTGTCGGGTCCTGAACCAGGATCCTGCAGTGGAGAAGGACCAGGCTGACCCTCTGGTCAGCCAACTGCCCTGGCTTTCTGGGACTAGTTAGGTCCACAGCCCCATTTGCAAGTGCTTGACACGTGCCGGGCACGGGGCTGGGTGCTTTATATGCATTATCTTATTTAATATTTATATCATCATATGGGAGAGTAACAGTTTTTGTCTTCACTTGATACATGAAGAGGGAGGTTTAGGGAGAGTAAGTAACATCCCCAGGGTCCCATGAAGAGCTGGGATTTGATCTCAGGCCTGTCTGACTCCAGGGCCTGTGTCTTAATCACCACAATCATCCCTGTGTTCCCCTGAGGATGTTTCCTGAAACAAACAAAAAAAAGCTCTCCGTGTTGAGAGATGGTGGTGAAACATTGCTGTTTCTACTCATCTCTTGGAGATTGAAAATGCACACTAATTTGTAGGAAGCCCTGGGAGATCTTATAGGGGAAAAAACATACTTCTTTTGGTTTCAACCAGAATTTCACAGATTCCTTTAAAACAGAGAACCCCTCCTCATCCCCCCTTCTCTTCTCCCTTTTAATGGAGTAGCACTTAGTCATCTGCCGTGATCTGTGTTTTCTGGAATGCACTTTTGCAACCACTGCATTAGGCAAGCCTCTCTGTGGGCCTCAGTTTCTCCATCTGAAGAATTAAAGGCTTGGGGTATCTAACCACAGTGGTGTAACTGGCGCATGACTTGCCCTCCAGCTGCAAGTAACTTGAAAATCTGGAGCAAATGTGAAGGATTTGTCTTCAGACATTGGGTGAATGGTAGCTCAGGACTGATTCCCCAGAGAAGAGAAGCAGATGAGGTGGGCTGCATCATCACACTGCCTGTCTGCCTGGAGGCGGTTTTTAAACCGTGGCACAGGGAACCCAAGCAGGGTACAGAAGTCCCCCTGGTTTGAAGAGCCAGGGCTTGGAGTCTGGGGGAGTTGAGCAGCCAGGAGTCTGTCCCGATGTTGTGAATTCATTTTGTCTGTCAGCCATGAGTAGGAGTCAGAGGCCAGGTACCGGAGAAGGTTCCCTAAGAAGGCTGATTCCGGCTAAGATCTGAAGGATGGTTAGGAGTGCACCAGGCAAAAGCAGAAGGAGAAGGGTGTTGGAGGTGGTGGGAAGGGAGGGGGCTGGCACCTGGGCCCCACTGGGGGTTTCCCCACCTGCCCTGCCTCCCGACCTGGGCAGAGAAGAGCTGTGAGAAATGTGAAGGGCTGGTCTTGACTGAGCCCCTGCATCGTACCCAGGACAGGACGAGAGAAATGGGTGTTCAGTGTATGAGGGCGAGTGTCCAGGACCAGTGTGACTGAGTGGGGCACTTTGCCCCGTCCCAGGGCCTGATCTGGGGGACCAGGGTGGGATGTCCTTGGGGATGCTGACCAGAAGAGCAGGGAGCAGGTGGGCCTGGAGGGAGGGGATAGTTTTCTCCGTGTGTGTGTGTGTGTGTGTGTGTGTGTGTGTGTGTGTCACTGGGAACCTCTGACCTGTTCCCCAATTGGCTGAGGCTGCCGCACAGGCTGACAATGGAAATGCTTGCACAGGAGAAATGCTGCTATTCAGGTGCCTCCCGTTAATCTGTGGAGGGGGTGGTGGCAGCAGCTAATTTCGGGATTTGCTTGTCTTTGAATGGGGGTAATTACTAGGAGTTGCCAATTGCTCCAGATTGTTCTCTGGAAAGGGAGGGGCTCTCTTGGGCTCTGCTGAGCGCTGCCCCCTGCAGGCAGTGCGGTGAAGTCACAGGGGGTGGTCCAGGCTGGGGAACGACAGGATGGTGTCAGGGGACCCCAGGATTGCAGCAGGGCCAGAAGGGCTGGGCCGGAAGGGCCCCCAGAGAGCACGTGGCCCAACCTGCTCATGTTACAGATGGAAAAACAGATGCAGAGGGAAGGGACTCGCCCAGGGGCGCACCGGGTGGGCCCAGCCAGGCTGCTTGGCCCCGGGGAACAACCTCCTTGTTGGCCATGCACCCCTCCCCCACCCCGAGTCCGTCTGGGACGCTGTGTGCGTCAGGAACCCCCTTTCCTCTCTCTGACTGCAGGAGACCAGCGCAGTGCCGGGGTCACTGAGGCCAGCAGCTTGCTGGGGGGCTCACCGCGGCGTCCCTGTGGCCGGAAGGGCTCCCCATATCACACGGGCCAGCTGCATCCTGCGGTGCGTGTGGCCGACCTCCTGCAGCACATCAACCAGATGAAGACGGCCGAGGGCTATGGCTTCAAGCAGGAGTACGAGGTGCGGGGCCCCAGTCCAGCCAGGACCCCTCGCCAGGGCCTCGCCGGGCTCCTGCATGCTGTGGACCCTGACCCTGGGCAACCCTCAGCCTCACCCTGGATGGACCTTTGCTCTGACAGACCCTAACTCAACCTAATTTTTTTTTTTTTACCTTGACCCCAATCACAGACTGACCTGGTTTCTCACACTCCTCCTGATCCTGACTTGAAATCTGACCTTCAGTCTTCTCTCAGTCTCCATCTAGACCCTGATCATGATCCCCGTCTTCTCCCTAATATGACTCTGGCCACCATGATGGACCCTGACCTCTAACCTAACACCCAGTCTTGACCTGGACCCTGACTCTCATCCTAAATTCCACTGGATCTCTGATTCGAATCTCATCCTCCCTCCATCTGAACTCTGACACCACCTTATTCTAATCTTAATTTGACCTTCACTTTTACCTTCTTCCCAACTCAAACCTGGATTTACCCTAAACCTGACCCTCATTCTGAAGTGTCTGTGAACTCTGACCCGACGCCCCCCCCACCGGCTGCTTTTCTCTCTTCCTCCCCCTCACACTGCTTGGTTTTGAACTTAGTCCCTTGCTGATAAAGGGATATATGGTGACTTGATCTCAGGCTCCAAGTTGAACCCTGAGTTTGGCCCTTATCTGTGGTCCCACTCCCATCCTGTTAGGGGATGGGGTCTTATGAGGGGAAGGGTTTCCTTGCCCCGCTGACTACCCCTTTACTTTCCCTTCTGGCAGAGCTTCTTTGAAGGCTGGGATGCCACAAAGAAGAAAGACAAGGTCAAGGGCAGCCGGCAAGAGCCTGCGCCTGCCTGTGAGTCCTGGGGAAAGGCCTGGGTCTGGGGCCATGGGTGGGAGGGAACTGGCTGGGGGTGAAGAACAGCCGGAGTGACCACTACTGAGGGCCTCCCACATGCCAAGCCATGTGCTGATTATCACACCTATTATTTTACTTACTTCTCTCAATAACCCAGTGGTGTGGGACATAGAACCCCCAGTTTACAGGTAAGGAAACTGAGGCTTGGGAGGTTAAGCTCCCTGCTCAAGGTCACACAGCTGATACTCACCTGAGTAGCAAATGATCTTGGGCCTCCTTTGGTGCCACAGCCCAGGTTCTAACCCCTGGCCTGTCTTGCCCCCTCTGGTGCTGAGAGCCTCCTGGTCAGCCCTGAGCCTCGAGATTCCCTGGCTCTCCTGCCTGAGCCGTACCTCTGGCCTTCTGGAAGCTTCCCCTCATTGCCCTAGCTCTGCGCTCCTCAGCTCAGTCCCTGCCCACCCCATGGCCCCCTGCTTTGTGTTTCCAGATGATCGACACCGAGTGAAACTGCCCCCGATGATGGGAGGCCCCGATGCCGACTACATTAACGCCAACTACATAGACGTGAGTGCCTCGCCTTCATCTCTGCGGGCCCGGCCCCGCCTGCTCCAGGCACAGTGCCCAGGCAGGCCAGCGACCTGGCAGGGAATATGCGGGGGTTCATAGCGCCCCCACCTCCTGCAGTCAGTGCCAGGGAGCTCAGAGGAGGGGAGGGCAGACGAAAGCCATCAGGAAAACTTCCTGCAGGGCGGACAGAGGAGGGGCTTCCGTGAAGCAGAAAGAAGGGGAGTGGGCAGACAGCTAGGCCTGGAGTTGAGGAAGGAGCCCCTCTCACTGAGGGACCGAGAGGCTTGGAGCTGGGATTCGAATGACTCATAGGAAGGCTGCAGGCAGGCAGGGGCTGGACTTCGAAGGCCTCAGATGGCAGGCGGAGGAGGTGGGGCTTTTCCCTAGGGGTCCGGGCGGGAGTTGCTCCAAGTGTTTGGACTGTGAGCAGAGCGGCACTTGAAGAATAACAACTCATGTTTATTGAGCAGGTACTGTGTGCCAAGCGCTGTGCTAAGCACTTTATATCAAAGATTTCATTTTACATAATCCCTAAAATCATGCTACGAGGTAGTTAGTATCGCGACCTCACTTTGCAGGTGAGGAGACAGACTCTGAGAGGTGGAGCTACTCGTCCGAGGTCACAGAGCTAGTGAGTGGGCAAAAAGGGGCTCAGATCTCAGCCTGTCTGTGTCTCCCAAGCCTTTGCTGCTAACCACAAGGCTCTCCTGCCATGCGGTGCAGCAGCTGGGCCCGGATGGACCAGAGCAAGGGGCTAGGGACAGGGCAGGCATCCAGGAGGCCCGGGCTCAGGTGTGAAGAGGTGATGAATCTGCTCCCCAGGTGTGGACAAGGGCAAGATGGGGCAGGGCCCAGGGACCCAGGGCAGACTCTCCCACCCTGACAGCAAGCCAGGTTCGGGAGAGAATCATTTGTTTGTTTATCAGATCTATTTTGAGCATCTACCATGTGCCAGGCGTCATGGTGGGCAACAGAGATAGAGCAGTGAACAACATAGGCACCATCCCTGCTTTCCTTGAATGTATAGCTTCTAGTCGGGGAGACACATAAACATATCTACAAGTAAAGTCATTTCAGATGAGCTGGGAAAGCACAGGCCAGACACGAGGAATGATTTTCCCAGTGTCACACAGCAAGTTAGTGGTACGCCAGGGCTAGCCTTGGCGGGCTGCATGGAGGTGGGGGCTTGAGCCGGCTCTGGGTGGCTGGAGAGGAAAGGGTGGGAATAGGGAGCAGCAGGAGTGAGGGAGGAGGAAGGTCAGCGGGATCGTCAGTGACGTGGGAGACCTCTCCCTCTTCTTCACCTCCTGGGGGCCAGAAAATATGCTACCCCATACTTCCCAGAATTCCTTGCCTTATCCCTCACCTCCCATGCTCTCCCTTGACTGGGGTACGGGCTGGGCCTGGCCTCTCAGACTCGGGCGACGTCGATGACGGGGGCCTCTTCTGGGTCTCCTCAGTGTCCCGGTTGGCTCCCCCACGGGCCCCCCGCAGGCTCACACCACTCCCCGCTCTCCGGCCCAGCCCGGCGCCCGTCTCTGCTCTGCCTCCCCTCCTCACATCGCCCATCCTGGCCACTCCTGTGCTCCGTCCACCTCCATCTGCCTCTGGCCTAATATCTGTCTCTTTTGCTTTGTACTGTTCCCTCACTGGCATCATTAAGATTCGGATAAACCGTGAAGTAAGTATCTCTCTCCCCGTCTCCTCCCTCGCCTGCCTTCTCACCCAGCTGTACCTCAGACTCTCTCATGGCCTCTGGCTGCCTTTCTCTCTCTGTCTCTGTGCTCCTTCTCTTCCACTCGTGTGCCCAACGCCAACTGTCCACTTCAGCGGCCCGGCCGGGGGCCGCCTGGGGCTGCAGATCCCACACTACCCCCCTCGTAAACCATTCCGTCCCCTCCTCCACTGCCCTGAGATGGGGCATCAGGGTTGGGAGGCTTCCACAGGCCCCCTTCACTGGCCGCCACCTTCTGTCACCTTTGTGCCCCAGCTCCCCACGCCCAGTGAGTCTCACTAGCTGTACCTTCTGTGGGGCCCTGGGAGGGCCGGGAGGGGGGGAGGCTGCTCTGTGGGTGCCCCATCGCTGCTGCTGGGGGGGTCAGGGTCTTGAAGGAAGCGAGGACGGCCCCGCCAGTCCCCTTAAAACTAGTTTCTCTGGTGTTCAAGTCCCCTTGTGGTCAGTTTGCTTGAAACTCAACCCTAATTACTTTGCCCTCAATTTAGCCCTCCTTTGAACGTTTTATTTTAGGGGAGCAGTTTGGGTATTTTATCTCTAAAAATTGTGCCATCTCTGGGCCTTCTAGGAATATTTTTAAAAAGTCCTATTCATCCAGTGATCCTTTAATTTGGTTTTTAATACACATTTAATACACCTTCGAACAGCCTGAGTTTGAACTGCACTGTTCCCTTTCTTGTGGATTTTTTTTAAATAAATAAATTATTTTTTATTTTATTAAATTTATTTTTTATTTATATTTTATGTTTATATTTTTATTTGTATTTTATTTATTTTTTACTTATAAATTATAAATGTATTTTCTCTTCCTTATGATTTTATTAATATTTTTTTCCTCTAGCTCACTTTGTTATGAGAATACAATATATAATACCATATAATATACAAAATATGTGTTACTTGACTGTTCATATTCTCAGTAAGGCTTCCAGCCAACCAGGCTATTAGTAGTTAAGTTTTTGGGGAGCCAAAAGTTATGCGTGGATTTTCAACTTCCCCAGGAGGTCAGCGCCCCAAACCCCCATGTTGTTCAAGGGTGAACTGAATATTATTTTTATAATATTTGATGCCTGATGGATGGGATTGTTCGCTATTTTGTGGGTATCTTTCTGTCTCCTTTAAAAAATACTTCTTGTTTTTTAAAGATTGCAAAAATACAGTTCATTATCAAACTTTCAGACAATGCAGAAATATACACATTTCTGTATGTACGAAATGAAAGGTCCCCACAGTCACAGCTGCTGGAGATGACCAGTTATCCCAGATATGTTCCCAGATATCACCCCCCCCCCTTATTGTGAGTGTGCTTCAACAGTTTGTAAAGTTCCCAAATTTAAATGGAGTAATAGGCCCATGAAATGGGTGGATATACTCAGTGGTGGCGCCCCCATGAGGAGGCGATGAATACAGGTACATTTCTTTATGTCAGTCTCCATACAACGCACTTGGTTCCTCCTCAACACTCTTCAGTGGCCATAGAAGACTTGGCTTTAATCCATCTTCAAATGCCAGTTAACAAGAGTATCATTGGCTGGGCGCCTGGCTCTGTGCCAACACGTTAGGCACATCATTTCATCTTTCCCATACTCTGAGCAGTAGGGACCGACATTTGGCAGGTGAGATGACCAAGCCTTAGGAAATTTCAGTGACTTGCTCATGGCTGCATGGAGCTGGGGCACAAGGCCCATGTGAGCCCTTGACGCTCATACTAGACTCTGGTTCTCTCCCTGTGGGGGGGCACCAGGAGGCCCTGGGGTGCTTGTCCATGATGCAAGTGGTCAGTCCCCCAGCGCCACCCAGGCAGAGGCTCCAGGCAGGTGTGGGGATGTGCCCAGAACATGGCGATGCCTGGGAGGTGAGGACCAGTGTGCTCTCAGATGCTCTAAAGTGGGTGTGCTCGAGGTAATCGATCTGCTTGCCTTCCTTTCACACCTGATCATTTTCCATTTTCCATTGTACTGTTCTCTAATTGTGCAGGAATGCACCTATGCATGAAGACTTTAATATGCAGATAGGGAGGGTGATCTGTTAAAAACTCGTTTCGCTGTGGACTGTATTTGCTGACTAGCTTGGGTGCTGGCACTGGGCCAGGCACCGGAGAGAGAGGGCTAGATGAATCCAAAGAGACGCTTCCTCTCATGTGGGATTCTCAGGCCAGCTGGTTCTAGATGAAGTAGCCTGTTTCCCGCTTGACCAGCACTGGAGGTGGGAGGGCTGCCCTGGCCTCGCCTTTGCTGGGCCTTCCCCTGGACCCCATTTGCCCAGCAGCTCAGCTGAGGACCTGAGACAGAGACAGTGGCTGGGGGTTAGGCCAGCTCGGAGCAGTTCTGCCAGTGAGGGCCCAGTGGCTCTGGGACGCTCTTCACTGTTGGTAACTGGAACTGGGTTTTGGGCACGGTATGCGGGTATACAGCAGAATCTCTGAGCTGTGTGTGTCTCACTGTTACCCCTACGTTGCAGAAGGGAGCAGAGCAGAGGCTCGGGAGGCTGAGAGTCTGGCCACTCCAGTGTGTTTTCAGGTCCAGCACTGGTCCCCCCGGGAGCTGGTTGGAAAGGCGCAATCCTGGGCCCCATGCCAGACCTTCTGAGTCTGATCTCCCTTTTAACAAGATCCCTAGGAGCTGCGGATGTACGTTAAAGACCGAGGAGTGCCCTTTTATAATGTGGCCGGAGTCACTTAGCTGCTCTGTAGAGCTGTGATAGGAACCCACATCAACCTGACTCCCCAGCGCAGATTCTTAACCCCTGGAGTAAACCACCCTCTGCCCGAGGAATTCTTGACAGCCATACTGTTGGAATCTTCGGGGCTACTCTTTGAACTTGAAAGTAGTAGCAGTAATAATAGGTACCATTGACCAAGCGCCAACTCTGTGCTGGCCGTGGCGACAGACCCTTGACGGTATGTTACTTTGTTGACTCCTCACAACAGCCCAAGGAGGTAAATACCGTAATCGTTCCCATTTTGTAGATGTAGATGTAGATGTGAAAATCGAGGCCTAGAGAAATAAAGGGCTCTGCCTGTGGGCTTATGGCTAGCGAGAGGTAGAGCTGGGACTTGAACCCTGGCAGTCTGACCGAGGCGTGGGGAGCTGGGTTGTGGGCGTGAACTTGATTGTTTTCTCTTTTGTCAGTGCTGCTGCACATTTACCTCTCCCGTGGTGCCCGCAGGGGTGCCCTGGGTGCCAGTGTGCGGGCAGGATGGCAGGACTGGCTGTGGCCCCAGGGTGGGAGTTGGGGCTGGCTGGGTCCCCTTTGCAGCCTGAGGGCTCTGGGGATGGAGGATGAAGTAGCTCTTGCCCTCTCTTTTGTGGGAGATCATGTAGGTAAAGTGCTTAGCACAGTATGTGATCATAATAGGGATCATAATTGAGACCATAATCTCAAAAATGATTATTATTTAAAAACCATTTTATCTGAGGGCCATGAGTAACCCATGTGTTCGCTTGCTTCCGACCTGAAGCCTTCATCTGGGCCCCTGGGTCCCTCAAGCTCTGGGTGACATGTAGTGGGGAGGGGGCACTGCCCCCCTGGTTGCCCCGCGGGGGCTGGGATGGCTGATGAGACCCAGCCTGGGGTCCGGGGACCCCCTGGTAACCTGGGCAGGATCACCGTGGACTTTATTTGTATCCACACAGCCAGGTGATAAGCTGACTGTGGCTAATCCTCCCAGTTTATGGGTGGGGAGACCCTTTAGGTCCATATAGGAGTTGTGTCCTCTGTGGAGTCACACAGCAAAGATGGGTTTGGGCCCGACACTGGTGTCCCAGCTGCTCTTCCGTCCTTACTGGGAGGACAGGTCCCCCCTCCCCTGGTGCGGAGGCCCCAGGGAAGAGGGCGGGCAGGTGGCCGTGAGTGAGTGTGCTGCACGTGGGAGGGGGGCAGAGGATGTGAGATCGGAGGGAGCGAGGGGCCGCTCCTGGGGTCTCACTGCAGCCTCTTCTCCTGTTCCAGGGTTACCACAGGTCAAACCACTTCATAGCCACTCAAGGTACCTGCACCTGTGCCCGCGCCCGTGCCCTGAATGCCATCTGCCCTGCTGCCTTCCCTCTGGCCTGCTCGGCTCCCTGTCTGCCTCCCTGCTGTCTCTGCCTGAGTCCCACTGCCCGGCTGCGGCTTCTGGCCGCCAGTCTCTGCCTCTCTTTGTGTTCGTGTCTCCCCGATGTGCTCAGTGCATCTGTAGTTCCCTCGGCCGTCTGTCTCTGAGGTGGTGCATGCAGAAGGATAGGCAAGCTCCGTCCTGCCAAGTGTGGATGGTGCCTCTGGCTCTGGGGGCTGCCTGGGTCCCTCTGGCTGTCTTTGCCCCCAACCGTTCATTTGTCCATTCCTCTGGGAGACTTGGGCTGTAGACTGAGGATCTAGCCCTCCGGCTCTACCTCCTGGGTTTCACTCGGGATGATTGGGGTCTCCGGCCAGCCAGGCCCTCTCTGATCCTGCCCACCCCTGGGGCCCTCCAGGCACGAGTTGGCATTGGGTGGGGTGTGCGCAGGGTGAGCATGACGCCTTCACTGGGGCTTAGGAGCCTCCTGGCCTGGGGTGGGGGTGCTGGGCAGCAGGTGCACTGGCCCTGGGTGGAGACCTTGCCTCAGGGACGAGCACCCTCTGCGCCCCAGGGCCGAAGCCCGAGATGGTCTACGACTTCTGGCGCATGGTGTGGCAGGAGCACTGTTCCAGCATTGTCATGATCACCAAGCTGGTGGAGGTGGGCAGGGTAAGCAGGGCCTTGGGGTGAGGGGGTAAGGCGGGCCGGGGGGGCAGCAAAGAGCCCACTGAGCCCCCTGTGGGGATCCCAGGTGAAGTGCTCGCGGTACTGGCCGGAGGACTCAGACATGTACGGGGACATCAAGATCACGCTGGTGAAGACGGAGACTCTCGCTGAGTATGTCGTGCGCACCTTCGCCCTGGAGCGGGTGAGTCTCCTGTCACCTTGGTCCCTGCAGGGGTGCCTGAGGAGGCGGGGCAGTGTCCACCTCCCCACCTCCCAGGGCAGGAGCAGGAGGGGCGAGGAGGGCTCTGCTGTCCTCCCCAGCAAGGCAGGCGCTCCGTCACTGCAGGGAGCGCTGTGGGGGCACCGCACGGGGACCGCCTTGGCCGGCGACCCCAGGACGACGTCGAGAAGGTAGAGTTGAAGGCAGTGGCTGGTGGTGCCCGTCCTGCTCGGTGCTGGGCATCGTGCGGAGCCCGTGTTGGTTAAGCCCCGGGAAGCGCCGGGATTAGGTGTTTCCGTTAGTCCCGTTGTACAAATAAAGAAAGTGAGGTGGAGGGGCGGCGCCACGCACGAGGCCACATGGCCGGTGACTGGCCGAGTCCTCCTGTCTGTGATCCTCTGTAAAAATCCTCAAAGGAGACACTTGCCCCCTCTAGGCTAAGACCAGAGAGTCGCAGTGACATGTCGGGTCGCACAGCCCCGTGCAGGCAGAGGTGGGGGCCCCATTCCTGTATAGTGTCTGTCTCGTCTAACCTCGGACCCACAGTTCCTCCTCTTTGGGCCCTGGTTTTCTTGCTGCTCCCATGAGTCAGTAATACCCACACCTCGGTTCATGATTGGGGTTAACTGATTGAGATCCGGCAGTGAGCAACCGGCAGGTGACTAAGGGGAGCCAGCAGTGACTCTGTCTCGCCAGAGAGGCTACTCTGCCCGGCACGAGGTCCGCCAGTTCCACTTCACCGCCTGGCCGGAGCACGGCGTCCCCTACCACGCCACAGGGCTGCTGGCCTTCATCCGGCGCGTGAAGGCCTCTACCCCGCCTGATGCTGGGCCCGTTGTCATCCACTGCAGGTGAGGCCTTGATCCCAAGGACAAGATGACTGGGCGTGGGGTTGGTTCCGGGTCCCTGAAGGAGAGGAGCCTTGGGTTCATCCTACTCACAGACAGAGGACAGGAGAGACTGATTCCCAGGGGCCCTTCGAACTGTGGCTCTGAGGTTGGCACCCTGGTGTGCTGCCCGAGACCTGTGGAGGCCCTGGGCCTAGAGGCTGAGGAGGCCGTGGAGGCAGAGGGGGAGAGGGGTTGGCGAGGCACCAGGCCGGTTGGGTTCCATTTGCTTCTGTTCAGCCAACGCCCATTGCACACCTGCGTGCTGGGCTTGGCCCAGGTGCTGGGAAGGACTTTGCCTTCTCTTCTCTGAATCCTGCAGGCTTTCCTCACTGCGGGGCCTCCATGCCCTGTGCAGCTCCTGAGCATCACCCCTTCTCTTCCAAGTCCTGCCTTGGTTGGCTCCTGTGGGCCCCCCTCCCCCGTTTGCCCTTCGTCTGCTCTGCTTCCTCTCCGGCTCTACAGCTTTCTCTTGCCTCTGAAGGGCCCTGTCCTGTTCCTGCCCCCACTCTCCTCTTGGGGAGCTTCCCCTCTGACCCTGGGGTCTCACTGACTCCCCTGGGCCCACAAGTCCTCGGCCTCTGTATCTGGTCCTGGCTCCTCTGCTTGGATTCCTCTCAGCTTCCCAAATGCCACATGGCAGACCCCCTACCTCCCTTGCCGGCCCCCCTCACACCACTTCTCAGGTTTCTTTAGGCTTCTTTAAGATGCTGTCTTTATTTTTTATTTTTTAATAGAGATTTTACTTATTTGTTTGAAAGCGAGAGAGAGCATGAGCAGCAGAGGCAGAGGGAGAAGCAGGCTCCCCACTGAGCAGGGAGCCTGATGCGGAGCTCGATCCCAGGACCCCGGGATCATGACCTGAGCTGAAGCAGATGCACCACTGACTGAGCCACCCAGGCACTCCTAAGATACTGTCTTTAAAATAAGATTTCATTGAGGTATAACGTACTTAAAGCAAAGTGCACGCATAGAACTTTATCCATTTTCATAAATTAAACACACCTGTGAAATAACCAGCACTGTTCAGATCAAGAAATAGAACATTAACAGCATTCAGAAGCACCCTTGAGCCCCTTCCAGTCTGTACCCACCTCCTTGCTCCCAGAGCAGCCTCTATCCTGACTTCTAAAGCGTGAATTCATTTTGTGTGTTTTTGAACTTTGTATAAATGGAATCACATAGAGTGTGCCCTTTGGTGTGTGACTTCTTCCCCTCCACCTTATGTTTGTAGGATTCATCCATATTATACCCTGTCCCGCTGGATGAGTCAACCACAATGTGTTTATCCATTCTGCTATTGATAGGTATTTGGGTTGTGTCATTCTGAGCTATTATGGTTAGAGCTGCTAAGAACGTTCTAAGGCGTGTGTGTGGGCCAGCGTACGCATGTGTTTCTGGGGGCTGTGTACGTAGGGGTGGGAGTCCTGCCAGGCAAACATTCAGCTTTGGTAGATACTGCCAGTCTCCCACAGTGGCCGTACTGGTTTCAGCCGCCGGCAGGGGCGGCAGGAGACCCGCTGCTACGCATTCTTGCCAGTGCTTTGACACCACCATTTTCAGGCTTGAAATCTTGGAGTCATTTTTGTCCTCTCTCTGCCCCCCGACTCTGCTCACCCTGGGGCTGAGCCTGAGCATCCCAGGGATGGGTCCGACACAGCCCGGCTTTGGATGAGCTCCCAGTCCGGTCCGGGAGACAGCCACGTGTGGCCGGAAGAGTGTTTTGACAAGAGCCCGCCGGGATTCCTCTGGGAGCTCAGAAGGATGGCATCTGCTGGGAGGGTTGGGGAGGCTCCCCCGAGTGCATGAGCAGGTATGAGTGTGTGGGGCTTTGAAGGCTGTGTGGATTTGGGGCTACCCAGGAGGCAAGAACATTCTTAGGTTAAGCTCTGGGCATCACCTTTGTCCTCTGCCCATCTCAGTTGCTACCCTTGCTCTCCTCTTCTTCCCGAGGCCCGTCCCCGGCTTGGTCTTGCATCACATTTCCACAGCTCCTGCTGCAGACTTCTCCCCGACTCCTCCTCGCCACTGGGGTGGGGTGTCTCTCTGTCCCCCAGCCCTTGTGTGGTGTAGACATGGCCAGGCACCCCAGGCCCCCTCTTCCCTTCTTCTTGGCCCCGGGCTCCCTCCCCAGGCTCTGACGGGGCCCTTGGCTGCTCTCTCCCCAGTGCGGGCACTGGCCGCACAGGCTGCTACATTGTTCTGGATGTGATGCTGGACATGGCGGAGTGTGAGGGCGTCGTGGACATTTACAACTGCGTGAAGACCCTCTGCTCCCGGCGCGTCAACATGATCCAGACAGAGGTAGGGGACGCAGCCCTCCCTCCCTGCCCACTCTGGGACTTGGGTCCCTCATGGAGGAACTCAAAGCTGGCGGAGTGTGTCAGAGGGGTGTCCTTAGAGCTGAGATCCCTGAGCTTGGTCTGCCAACTCTGAGGGTCTCCCCGAAGTCAGCTCCACTGTGGTCAGTTGGATGAGGTCAAACAGCCAAGGGGCCAAGGTCATAGGTTTTGCAGGTAAGATCTACTGGTGTTTGTACCCTCATTAGATGTGTGACCCTGGGCTCTCCCTTCACCTTCAGAGCTTCTTACAGGGTATTAGAGGGATGAAACATGAGGTAAGTGAACATATCTGTGAAGGCTGTTTCAGGTAGGGTTGGGCCAACCTGTACCAATACCTAGGTGGACTGTAGCATCCCTGCCTCAACTTTGGGCTTGCTTCCTGCTGCCATCTCCCCCAAATCTCTAGGTTCTAGTCCCCTCCTGGTTCCTCATATTCTCTCCTCCTATTCCAGGAGCAGTACATCTTCATTCACGATGCAATCCTGGAGGCCTGCCTGTGTGGGGAGACCACCATCCCTGTCAGCGAGTTCAAGGCCACCTACAAGGAGATGATCCGCATTGATCCTCAGAGTAATTCCTCCCAGCTGCGGGAAGAGTTCCAGGTGGGGCAGGAGTGTATATGTCTAGGTGTGTGTGTGTGTGTGTGTGTGTGTGTGTGTGATTGTGAGAGTGTGTGTGTTTGTGTGTGTGTATTGGGAATTTCTCAGTGCTGTAGGAGTCATTGAGAGCCAAGAAAGAGGGACAGAGTAGGGCTACTGGGAAGGACTTGGAGACAGTGGAGGAGGTGGTCCCTCCAAGTGGCTGAGAGCCTGTGCTTTGAATCAAGGAAGCCCAGGTTCAAGTTCTGGCTCAGTGAAGAGCTGTGAGTAGCCTTGAGCACTCACATTACCTCCCCAAGCTTCGGTTTTTCTTACCCAGGAAAGAAAGTCAATATTGCCCTCGCAGTGTTTGTATTCATCAGGATTCTTTTGGTCGCAAGTGACAAAAATCCAGCTCAATGACTCTTGAAACTGAAAAGTCCAAGGATGGTGCAGCTTCAGTTATGGCTGGATCCAGGGGCTTAAATGATGATTCCAGGACATAGTCTCTGTCCATTTTTGGTTCTGCTGTTCTCTGTTTTCGGCATCTTTCTCAGACCCATACCCTGGCCCCCAGCAGTGCCAGGCTCATGTCATCCCTACTGTCAGGAGACTGGAAAAAGGACTCCCTACAGCCCCAATGGAAGTCCTAGACCAGATTTCTCCTGTGCCATCCCTGAGCCAGTCCCTGGGGTCAGAGAGTAGGAACACATGGACTGGCCCAGGCCTGGTTCTGAGGTTGGACCCACTGTCCGCATGTCACATGACAGAGATGGGGGAAGGCTGGTTCTCCAGAGAAGTCCCAGAGTGGTCTGTGGGCAGGCAGAGGCCCCAGATGTCCTCTACACTCCAGGTTCCTGCCACGGTTCAGCGGGCTGGCCCCTTCTAGACGCCTGACGCTGGAGAGCCTGCACAGACGGTCTCATTGGAAATGCCACCTCTGCTTCTTGGAGCCCTGTTAGGGATCATGAGAGACTGGGGTTCACTGTTAGGGATCCTCAAGGACAAGAGAAAGAAGCGCAGACACCATGGGTCAGGCTGTCGGAGGCATGGGGTGGAGGAGATAACCCAGAGTCCCAGGCTTGCTGTGTGACAGGTGCCCTGTACTTGCGTTCTCTTCCGACAGGGCCGACCGCCTCCGCCAGGTCCCCATAGTCCGCTTTGTGGAAGATGTGGGGCTTTAGGGCTTGTCTGCCTGAAAGCACCTGATCCTCACTGTGTCTTTTATGTAGGGAGCCTTGCATCTGCCAGGCGCAGTGCTCGGACCTTGGCAGTATCTCGCTCAAGCCTCCCAATAGCCCCTTGAGGCAGGCGTATTATTATCCCACCTTCCAGTTGAGAACAATAATGCTGAGAGATACAGTAGCTTGTCTAAGGTTACACAGGGAGCGGGGCGGCAGACTAGATCTCCAGAGCTCTGTTCAGAGCCTGTGTGGTCTGGAGACTGGGAGCCAGCCTGGGGTCCCTGTCCTCGCCCCCTTCTCTCTGGACCTCAGTTCTCCATCCATGAAATGGGGTTAACAGCCCAGCTCAGTGTCCTTCATGGGGCCAGGAGGAGGCCCAGCGAACACTGGAGGTCCACACTCACCCCTCCCCCCGACCCCATTGCTCCCTCCACTCCCTGTAGACGCTGAACTCGGTCACACCGCCCCTGGATGTGGAAGAGTGCAGCATCGCCCTGCTGCCCCGGAACCGGGACAGGAACCGCAGCATGGATGTCCTGCCGCCTGACCGTTGCCTGCCCTTCCTCATCTCCGCCGACGGGGACCCTAACAACTACATCAATGCGGCCCTGACGGACGTGAGGGCTTGGGCAACCCTGGGCTCGGGGACCCCCTCAGCCAGCAGTACCTGGGACGGCTCAGGAGCCAGGGGGGCAGAGCCGAGGGGGGAAGCTGGGGGCACTCTGCAGGTGGACCGGGAGCAGAGTCAGCACCTGTCACTGGTCTGGGGCCCTGGGCTGGGCTCTCAGACCCTCCCTCCATGGAGTTGGAAGGGACTTAGAGATGTGTTTATTCACAGATATTTATTGAACACCTACAATGTGCCGGGCACAGGCCATACCCCCCATACCCCCAAATCTCTACAAACCTTGTATGTGGGTGATGGGTTGGGGCAGTCAGTACACAAAGATACAGTGGCATGTGAGATGCTGGTAATTTCTACAGAAAGCTACCAGGCAGGAGAACTATATAATGTGGGCTTTGGAGTGTGTGTATATAGCTATTTTTGATGAGGTGGTAAGGAAGGCCCCTTTGAGGAGGCGACTGTCAAAGAGCAGAAAGAAGTGAGGGGGAGAACTGTGTAAACATTTGGAAATTTGTTCTAGGCAACAGGAATAGCAGGTGCTAAGGCCCTGAGGCAGGGAGCAGGCTTGGCCAGCCTCTGACTACCCTGCCCATGTTCCCATCACCCCACATTTGGGAACGTTTCGTATTCTAGCCTCAGCTCTGCCTGAGGGTTCCAGGGGCCATGGGCTTGGACACCAGGGGCCTTGGGGTGGGGGGGGCTCACCCTAACAACTCAGGCCTCAGTGTGCCAGCCAAGCTCTGAAATGGACCCCCAGAGGCAGCCTGGCCCCGAGGGGAGCGCTGTCCAGCTCAGGGTGGGCAGAGGGGGAGGACGGCCTGTGGCGGGGGGCTCCAGCCCTGTCGGGTGGTGAGCGGGCCTCGCTGAGTCCTGGCTTCCCTGCAGAGCTACACACGGAGTGCGGCCTTCATCGTGACCTTGCACCCACTGCAGAGCACCACGCCTGACTTCTGGCGGCTCGTCTACGACTACGGGTGCACCTCCATTGTCATGCTCAACCAGCTGCACCAGTCCAACACTGCCTGGGTGAGGCCTCCACTGCCCAGGGCCTCATGTGCTCCAGGACATGTCCCCAAAGCCCAGGGTTGGATCCCAGCTGTGACTTTAGATGGGTCCCACTCCCTTCCAGAGCCTTGCTTTCCTCATCTGTAGAATGCAGCTGTCAGATTGGAGGGAAATAGCTGCTTTTTATTGAGCACCTGCTGTATGCCCAGGACTCTGCTTTGCACTTACGGGCTTTGGGTGAAAAGATTAAGACCCAGGGAGCTGGGAAGTGGCAGAGCTGTGCCCCTCCCCCAGGCTGCCTTCTTCCAGAGCCTGTGGGTGGACTCAACTGCCCACCGTGGGGGCCTTTGAGATTGAGCAAAACTCCAGCCTCCTTATTCTCTGACTGATCTTGGGTAAGTTCATTTGCCTCTTTGAGCCTCAGTTTCTTTCCTGCCCAGCACACAGCAGGTGCTAAGTGCGTGGCAGGGATGAAGACAATGAAATTGCGGCTGAAGTGGGTCTAGACCCTGGCTTGGTGACCTCCGCCTGGGGGCTGCCCCGGTTTCCTTTTGGCGTCCCCAAAGCTGTCACTGCCAGGAAGTGCAGATGTTCAGCCTTCCAGCCCCTCGTGGTCATACTCTCTAGGTATGGGCCTCTCTGCACTTCCGTGTCCTAGGCGGCCAGGAAGAGTTGCTGTAAAATGAGCCTGACAGTCTCTGAAAGGCTGAGAAGACTTGCTAACGGGGCTCTTTATGAGGCAGGCATGTGGTCTACATGACCGAGGACTGCAGCGTGATGGGCTCTTGTCCCTGGCACGGATCTGGGGGGGAGTCTTATGTGGGAAGAACCTGCCCTTGCTAAGGTGAAGGGGAAGGACCTAGAGGGAGGCTCACACAGATGTCATTCAGTCACCTTTCTCCACTGGCCACTCCCTGCCAGGCCTGCAGTACGCAGTGAGGAGACGGGGAAGCAACATACCGCCCCTCTCAGATCTCGTGGTGCAGGGGGATGCAGGGTGCAAACCCCTGACAGTGGCAGCACACAGGGAAGGGGCTGTCATGGAGCTGACACTGGTTTCCCTGCAGAGAAGCCTGGGGATAACGTATCAGGGAAGGCTTCTGGCGGAGGCAGTATCTAAGCTGAGCTATGTAGGGAGGGTAGAGCTGACCAGGTGAAGACAGGGGGGATGCGTGATCCATGGAGAGGGAGCAGCATGTGCAAAGGCCCGAACACAAGGAGTGGCTGGGACCCCAGGCAAAAAGAGGAAGGTAGTGCCCTCTTTGTGGGCAGAGAGGGAAGCAGATGGAGCATGGAGTCATCTGGGAGGAGCTTGGGGACTGTTTCACAAATGGAGAAACGGGGCCCAGAGGAGGGAAGAGCCTCGCCTGGACTTCAGGCAGAGCTGAGGCTAGAAGCTGGGGCTCTGGACCTACTGGCCTGGAGGACGTGTGTGTGTGTGTGTGTGTGTGTGTGTGTGTGTGTGTGTGTGTGTGTGTGTGTAGGAGGAGACACTCCCTTCATCCCTCTGCTGTCTCCAGTCTGGCCTGGAGGGGAGGCTGCACGTGGGACCCTGACTCCATGGTAGGGTCCTAGGGCAAGAGTGGGGGTTCTGAGCTGTGTTGCAGCTTCAGGGACACCCCACCTGTGTGAGCTGATGCTGGAGAGCAAGGCAGTGAGAGAGAAGGCTGGGAGGGAGCGGTGATGGGGTGGGCAGGGGTGGTCTGAGGCCTATCCCTGGAAGAAGGCGGCCTCATGCAGGGGTGTGTGTGCGCGTGTGTGCGTGTGTGTGTGAGTGTGTGAGCGTGTATGTGAGCGTGTTAGGTGTGGCTGTGGAGCTGCTCAGTCAGGACTGTCCGTGCACCTATGAAGGGTTTGTCTCTGCTGACCTGAGCGGGTCAGGCAGAAGATGTTGGGGCAGGTGTGCACTGCCCTCGGATGGGTGAGTGGCAGAAGCTGGGGAGACTCTGCAGGTGGACTGGGAGTGAGTGGTTCAGGATGTGTGGGAGCCCCAGAGCCAGGGTGGAGGTTCGGGGTGGGCAGGAGCGGCAGCTGCCCCCGCCTGGCTCGGCTCAACGCTCCCCTCCGTGTCTGTGTGCCTAGCCCTGCCTGCAGTACTGGCCAGAGCCGGGCCGGCAGCAGTACGGCCTCATGGAGGTGGAGTTTGTGTCGGGCTCCGTGGATGAAGACTTAGTGGCCCGTGTCTTCCGGGTGCAGAACATCTCTCGGGTGAGTGACCTGGGCGCCCTATGGTGAGAACCTGGGTGGTGGCTGGGGGGCAACCTCACGAGACCCCCTTGAGGTCACCCCAGGGCTCATGTTCCCTCCCCCCCCCCGCCCTTGGCTGGCGCTTGTGCCCTCAGCTGCAGGAGGGGCACCTGCTGGTGCGGCATTTCCAGTTCCTGCGCTGGTCTGCGTACCGGGACACGCCTGACTCCAAGAAGGCCTTCCTGCACCTGCTGGCTGAGGTGGACAAGTGGCAGGCGGAGAGTGGGGACGGGCGCACTGTTGTGCACTGCCTGTGAGTGTGGGCCCTGCTGGCGTGGGGGAGGGGCCGGGAGACACGGGGCTGAGGGGGGAACCCAGGCTGAGAGAAGGCCTCAAGGCTGCCACTAAAACCCCCAGGGCTTCCGGATGGCCCCATCTTCCCTGGAGGAACCCAGTCTGTTTCCAGGGTGTGGACTCAACCCTGGGCAACTGCCCAGCACCCTCTGTGTGATGTCTGACTTTGTCAATTTAATTAGAGTCCTGTCAGAATTGTTTACTCTGTGAGACAGTAGCACTCTTTAAGCCAAAAGAATTCCAGTCTTTGTTCGTGCATGCACGCATGCAACTTTGTCATTCGTCCCTTCACATTCCCTGTTCATAAATTCATGTATTCACTCCTGTCTGGATGCAGTCGCTCCTTTGACCCCCACTTTCTCATGCTCTCAGTGCTTACCGACCCTTCCAGTGCCAGCCTAGGCATTCCGGGGACAGGGATAGGGAGCTGAGTTAGGCAGGGCCTGGCCCTCAGAGGCCTTTGGTTCTAGTGGGAGAGACCCCTCAAATGGGGGCTGAGGGCCTAGTCCATCCCTCATCTCCCCAGGGGAACCCCACATCCCGATGTTGCAGGGAACAGAGGAGGGAAAGGAACAGGGGATAGCAAGCGTCTCTGTGTGTTTGGCTGCTGGTTTGCCTTGAAGTGTGGGTGTGTACGTGTGTGTTTTCACCATGTGTCTGTGCTGCTGGGGGTGACTGGTGCTCACAATGTTCATTTTACATCCTGCTCTCTGGGGTTTGCTCGCTGCTCTGCTGCCCTCCTCTGTCTCCGTCTTCGTCTCCGTGGCTTCCTTTCCCTCAGAACCTGCTGTCTTTCTCCTGGAGGCTGCCTCCCTAGTTACCTACAGGCTTTGGATGCCAGTCTTAGCGTCTGAGCTCCCAGACCCCACCCTCCTGGGTTCCCTAAGCCCCGCCCTTCTGAGCTCCCAGACCCCTCCCTCCTGGGTTCCCTAAGCCCCGCCCCTTGCCTTTCGGGGGTTCCCTGGCCCCTCCCTTCTGAGATACCCTGGTTCCGCCCCTCTTCTCTGGGCTCCCAGGCCCTGACCCTCCTCCCTTTTGGTTCCCTGGTCCTGCCAGTCACTTTGGTGTTCTGGCCCCAGGCCTCCCCCTCTTGAGCCCCACCCCAAACCCTCTGTGTCTCATTTAGAAACGGGGGCGGCCGCAGTGGCACTTTCTGCGCCTGTGCCACAGTCCTGGAGATGATCCGCTGTCACAACCTGGTGGATGTTTTCTTTGCTGCCAAAACGCTTAGGAACTACAAGCCCAATATGGTGGAAACCCTGGTGAGAGGCCCTGTCCCTCTGCCCAACCACTTCCAACTTCCCAGTGCATGCCCGGCCAGGTCCCTTCACACCACTGTCCTCTACCTGGTTCCTCCCATTGGGCTTTGGGTTCTGATCCGGTGGTGCCAAGACAGTTAAACCCATTTGTCCCTTCCCCCCAAAGATGGGCCAGGGCTCATGCTTGCCCTCTGGCCCCTCATTCTCCCCTTCCCCAGTACCAGAGGGGGACCAGGCTCATGATTCCTCTCTCTCTCTCCCCAGGATCAGTACCACTTTTGCTATGATGTGGCGCTGGAGTACCTGGAGGGTCTGGAGTCAAGATAGCGGGGCCCCTGGCCTGGGGCACGCATTGTGCACTCAGGGCCAGGCCCAGCGCGGACGAGGAAGACCTGGGCCCTGACTCTGCTCCACTACAGCTCCCGCGGGGAAAGCACTAGAGTGGGCCCTGGGCCATCTTGGTGCCCCCTCCCGCTGTGGGCAGGGCCTCTCATCGTGTCCGATGATGGGCAAGCTGTGGGCCACAGAGGAGCTTAGTGGCTGCAGCCCAGCCCCCCTCCACAGGGTCCTGCAAGTCTGTACTGTGAGTCTGGCACTGCCTGGTGGAGTGACAGGGGCTCAGGGCTACCAGCTTGGGAGGACCCAGGCTCAAGCTCCTTGACTCCAGGCTCAAGCCCCAGACTCTGTCCCAGCCCTTGGCAGAGATGAGTGAGCCCCTGCAGAGCCTCTGGCTGGCCAAGGTTTCCACCCAGCGTGGCTTCCTCTTGATACAGATAGAGGGTGCACTGGGGCTTGGCATCTGGAATCCCACCTGGCCTGGCCCCTGAGGGTCCTGGGGAGACTGGGCACATCAGACTGGTCCTCCCCAGAGGGGACTATGGTCCCCTCCTCCACCCTGCTGCCCCCTCCCCCCCCCCCAGGCCCGGGGATATTTTGCTTATGGTCCCTCCCACTATTACTTCTTTGATGTGTGCTCTGAGCTTCTTTGAACCTGGATCTGCCCTTCCCTTGCCCTGTTCTCCGTGGGGGCCCCTTCCCTGCCTGACCCAATGTCTGCAGAATGAAGGTACCTCAGCCCTTCTTCCTGTACCTTTCAGGCCTCACTGGTGGGTCCTGCTCAGCCTAGGCCAGTGACAATCTGCAAGGTTGAACAACAGCCCTTGGGGTTGAGGTCTCTGTGGCTCCTGGTCAGGCTGCCCCCTGGGGACAGGGCCCTACTAGATCGGGGTGCTTGCAACTTCTACAGTTCAGAGGAAGAACATGTATTTTGGGTTGGAGGAACAATTCTTTTCTGTTAATTTTATGATTTTTTTGATGGGTGGGTGGGAAAATCTCTTTAAAATGGGGCAGGCCACACCCCCATTCCGTGCCTCAATTTCCCCATCTGTAAACTGTAGATATGACTACTGACCTACCTCACAGGGGGCTGTGGGGAGGCATAAGCTGATGTTTGTAAAGCGCTTTGTAAATAAATGTGCTCTCTGAATGCCACAGAGCAGCCTTGTGTGTGTGTGACCAGCCTGAGTGGGGCCTGCTCGCCTGCCCCCAGGTTCCTAGTGCAGTGGGAGGGCTCTGGGCTGGGAGGTGGAGGCCGGGGTCCAGTTAGGCCTTGGTTTTTCCATTCATAAAATGGTCAGGTATGGACCAGAGCATTGTTCAGGGGCCTTCTTGCAGGGGCAGGTTCTAGAGAACTCTGTCTGTTGCTGCCTCCACCCAGGCCTCTGAGGCAGCTTCTCAGGTAGTGGGCTTCATCCTGAGACCCCTAAAGGTCCACAGAGTTGCCTCTCATCCCTCAGGGACCTGGATCTGGGTTGAGCTCTTTTGGGGACAGCATGGGAGGCTCAGGCTTTGGGATCAGGTGGATGGGCCTCACCAGCTGTGAGACCCTGGGTAAGTCAGCTCCCTTTCTGTAAAATGGAGTAAGACCCTGGTAGGATCAGAAGAGGACATGATTAAGTGTCTTGCATGGTACCAGGCATGCTGAAAGGGCGCTGTTTACAAACACACAACAGAGACACACCCTGTCTATGATGGTCATCCCAGCCTCGGGCTTCTGCTGGGGGTGGAGTGGAGGAGCAGGCTAGCTGGTAGGATCCTAGTCACTCCTGGCTCTGTCATAAACTTGTGTCATCTTGGGCAAGACAAATCGTGTTTCTGGGCCTCCGTTTCTTCATATGGAAACTGGCTCCTTGCTGTACTGATTCTGTTCTCACACTGGCTGACTCCTGTGCCACAGTTTCTCCATTGGCAAGAGAATACAACCCATTCCAATGACTTAGGATCTAACATCTTTTAATCTGAATTAAGAATTTATTATGATCCCACTTATCTAGGGTATATGAGCGCCCCCCCCCCCCCCGCCCGCCACACACACTCAGTCTGAATTGACTACTAAGCCTTACCTGATGGTCACAAGTGTATGTCAGATCCTGGCCAAGCAATAGAATGTGACTTCCTTTGACCAGTAGAAGATGGCAGAAGTGATGTCAAGTGAGTTCTGGATCTTAAGCCTCAAGGGGCAATGCAGCTTTTGCTTTTGTCCTCTTGGAACTCTGCCATGTAATGAAGCCTATCTAGCCTGCTGGAAGATTTGAGGGCCCATGGAAGAACCAGAAGAACACAACCCATGAAAGGCTAATACCAACTACCAGACCTGTGAATGGGGCCATCTTGGGCCTTCCAGCCTGGCAGGCCTCTCAGGTGAGTATAGCCGCATGATTGAGCTTAGCAGAAGCTGCCCAACCAACCCCAGAACTAGAAGAGATAATAAATTGTTCTTTTTTTTAAGCCAAAGTTTTAGGATTGTTTGTTATGCAGCAAAAGCTAGCTGATACATGTAATGTTCTGGGCCATGTGGTTGCAGCTCTACTCTTTGACCCATTGAGTACTGAGATCCTAAAGGGTGGGAAGTGTTTCTGCATTCATCCTATTGTATGCATTGCCCAGCTAAGGGCTTGTCTTTGTAGCCGGTGCTCTAGAAATGTTGGCATGAGAGAGGGAAGGATGGAGAGAGTGTGGGTCTGTTTGATCATTGGCCTTACATGGCTTTTCAGAGGAACTGGGAAGGCAGGCCGTGTATTAGGAGGAAGGCCAGCTCCAGAATGAACCAAGGTCCCACCCCCAGCTCTGCATAGCCCCCAGCTGGTGACCTTGCACCTGTTCAGAACCACCCCTGGCTCAATTTCCTAATCTAGAAAATCAACATAACGATACCTACTTGCAGGAAGTCTAGAGATAAAATGTTTAAAAGAACTAGAATAGTCCATGGTGATCTGACTGGCCCTCAGTCCATGCCATCACATGGTACTGAAGTCCCCAGCTAATAAACACGGCCTGCATGACCTTTCATTCAACACCCTTACCTCCTTCTTAATCCATACAATGGCTCTTTGAAGTAGGGATACTGCCCCTTCATTCCGGGGACGAGGAAACAGAGGCCTGGGAAGGCACTGCACTCACTCAGGGTCACAGCCATTGTACGGCTGAGCTGAGGCTCCAGCTTGACCCCACTTTAGGCTGACCCCAAAGCCTGGGCCTCTCACTGCTCTGCTCCATGGCCGGTCTGGGTGGTGGTGAAGGCCGGAGGGTCCCTTGGTGCAACACCAAATGGCTGACCCATGGCCGGGACACTGATTTTCAAATCTGAAATGTGTCAGCGGGGGTGGCCTCTCGCACAAGGCGGCCAGTGGCACGAGAAGACGGACGGCCCAGCCTGGCTCTGCGCGGGGCCAAGGGCCTTGCACGTGTGGGGTAGAAGCCCCCACTCACCAGATCCCTGCAAAAAGGGTTTCTAGAAGTGCAGACCGGCCGGCTGTCTCCTCGGGCCGGAAGCTGAATTTGCTTCTTGTGTCATCATAAATCGGGCCGTCAGAGCCGAGGCCATTTTAGTGCTTCTCACGACCTCTGCGGCCGCCCCTGATTGGGAGGGGCTGCATGGCCTGGGCACCGGGGAGACCGAGCCACGGTCTGATGGCTGTGAAAGCCGCCTGCACGGCCCTCACTGATTGCGGCCCGTCTCGGGGCCCCGCCCACCTCCCCTGGCTGGCCTCGGATGGCCGGGAGCCCAGCAGACACGCCGGGGCCGAGGGCCTGGCCGGAGTCCTGGTGTCCGTGCCGGGGCAGAAGCTGCTTTGCCATGCGGCGCAGACGGCAGCGAGTCTGGCGTCCGCGGCCTGGGCCCGAGGACCTCCTCCTCGCGGGGCGCGGAGGCCGTCCTCACCTTCCGCGGGCCTCCGTGCCTCATCTGAGCCGTGGGAGGAGAAAAAGCCATGGGCCGTGGTGCTCCCAGGGCCGGGGAGGCCGGGAGGTGTGGGCGGGGGGCAGGGAGCCACGGTTTCCACCGGTGTGGGCCGGGCTACACCCCGGGGGTGGAGGACAAGGGCTGTGGACGGGGTGAGGTCGCAGAGCGCGGCTTTATGTGGCGCTCACCAGGCCCGGGGCACGTGGCCAAGAGCTCCGTGTGGATTGTCACGGCTCAGCTTCCAACGAAGCCGGTGAGGTAGGTACTGTCATCCCCACTTTACAGATGGAGAGATCGAGGCTCAGGGAGCCTGTGACCTGCCCAAAGTCACAGAGCCACCAGGTGTCACACAAACTGCGGTAGCCACAGCGACCATTTGGAACGAGTAAGCCAGATCACTCAGCCTCCAGTGACCTACTGCTCTGTGAGTAAAGGCTGAGCGCCTGGCTGTGACCTCCGAGGCCCCGCCCGACGTGGCCTCGGCCCTGCCTCTGCCCGCGTCCCTCTTGCCCGCTCTTTGCTCGCTCTGGCCTCATTTCTTCTCATCCACCCGAGCTCTTTGTCTGGATGCCCTTTGCCACTCTCTGCTCGGCTTGTCCTTCTGGGTGTCCAGGTCCAGCTCAGACGGCGCGTCCTCGAGAGGCCCTCCCTGAATGCATTGAGATGGCCTCCCACCCCACTGTCCCTGTCACACTCAGGGCCCTGCCCCATGTAGGCCCCTGGTGGCCTTCTTGTGTGGGTGACTAGCTGGCTCTTCGTGGGTTGGTCATTCACCACCCTGAGAAATCCGACCCTGAGCCACATCAGCTACTTGCATTTTATCTTTTGTGTGAATCAGTCTGCCTTCCTCACACTAAGCCTGGCTCAACCACTGAGAGGTGCAGACTGGCTTGTGGAGGCCGTCAAACAGCCTCCCAGGCTTAGTGGCAGACACCTAGTAGGTCTGCAGAAAATGCTGTTGAACGAGTGCTTAAGCATCTGTTGAATCTGCAGATGGTGGGCCTGGCCTGAGTCAGCAGGAGCCACTGAGTTGAGAAAGCCTCTTGGAGAAAAATGAAATGCATTTCAGCTCACTTCCTACTTATTCCCAGAGGTGGGAAGAGGGAACCTGTCCAGGAATTTTATTTTCTGTTCATTTGAAAGCCGAACAATGGGGCTTTCTCGAGCAGTGTGTATTTTATGTGACTGCATTCTCTTTCTGAAGACAGCTGAGGGCAGATTTCTCTCTCCAGGGCTCCAGTCCCTGCCTGCTCCCCTCCCCCCAGGACAGGCAGAGAAGCCTCTGCTCCTCTAGCTGCTTTCCCTAATAAATGCTTTGCTCCCTTGCCTTGCCCCCATGGTGAGTACTGATTTATTGTCTCTGAGCTCCAAATGCGCCCTTCTTTGCCCTGCTTTGTGATACTGGAGCTGGACCCTGTAAACAGTTGTCTTTTGTCAGCTGGAGCAATGCTAGACTTTGTCAGTAGAGGGTGCTAGAGGGACACTGTAAGATGATTACTTGCCTTCCAAGTTCTGGTCCTCCTTCCTTAAAAAAAAAAAAACAAAAAACAGAAACCAAAAAATACTCAGCATAGGAGCCAAGACCTTAGTGGCCCTTGTGGCCCAGCTCCAGATGTACCCTCAGGCCCCACTCTCCATTTCTATAGACCAGTGCTAGTCCACACACTCTGGCAAGTTTCTTAGCTACTTAGAGGCTGAATGTTCTTGTGGTCACCACTCCCTAAAAAGGTCTGAATGTCAATCTTGGGGGAGACCTTCTCCTCAGTCTTTAGTTCATTTGTTATTCACTCTCCCTCTCCCTCAGCCTAGTCATAGCTGCTTCCCTCCTCCCCCTCCCAGAACATTCTTTCTTCTGGATGCTTCTTTCTTGCAGCTTTGGGGGTCCCTTAGATTTTACTTAACTACCTATTGCTAGTTAATAATTATTTCTATTAAAACTTCCATGTGGAAGTTATGGGTTATGAATTCTGTCTCCTGATGGGGTCATAACTGATATAGAATTTGAAGTAGGGGTAGTCCCAGGAAGCAGACTCTCAAAGGTAGGATTTTGATTGGTTTTGTTGTGCCCTTGGGCTTGAGCATGGTGCTGAGCTCCTTGTCAATTGGACCTGGGATGCTAGTAATCCACGGCATAGTGGCATCATAATTATATTATCACCTGCGATGGATTTTGGTGGAATGCCAACTGAAGCAAGTGTCTTGGGAGCCCAGGTGACTACTGCACCTGACCATCACATCATTAATT